TTCTGGTTGGAGGAAGGGTGTTTATATTTGTTCTAAATGGGTAACAGAAGGCAGAGGCCCATTATCAGCAACAGGACATGTGGCCTACAGTTGAAAGGAGCTTTGTCCAGTGGTCAACAGGTTCATTTATACTCTTGTATGATCCTGTCTTGATTTATAGGAGTCCTCAGTAGATGTGTGGGGAGCCGTTCCTCTCCTTACAGGAGAGAAAAAAGTGTGTTTTGATTTCTGACACATACAAATTAATGCTGGAAAAAAGTACTATTAAATTGAGGTTTAGATTTTTTGACTGTTTCTTATGTCTAGTCCTATTAAATACAACAGTATTAATTTGTGAACTGTATAAATCAAAGCACTTTGTTTTTCTAAATCCAAGTTCAAATTCGATCCTGGAGGGTCACAGCACTGCATTGTTTTGTGCTTTTTCACATTCAATTCAGATTTTGAAGGACTTCTAAAGAGTTGGATCAGCTGACATCATTAACAATTTACTGTACTCATACTCAGATTTGATTGTTTTTGTAAAATCACAACATGTGTATTAATAGCACTGCCTTAGGAGTATCCTGATGTGGCATTTTTATCGTTGGCCAGAGATGCGGCTCATTGGAGTAGGAGGCCCTAACAGCTGTGCTCAAGATTATCCAGTCTTCAGTCCTCAGGCACAGAAATAGAAACTCCCTCTATTTTAGCTTGGCACAATCAAAAGACCAAAAAATAGTGAGAGGGAGGCAATTGTTCCATTGTTCCCATAGGCTATACAGAGTTGGAGTGAATTTAGGATTGTGGGTGCATGTGATGTGCAATATAATAGAGAATATAGTTCTGTGCTATGTTGCAGTACAGTATTGGTACTGAGTTACCAATGTTCTTTTCTTCTCTCTTATTAAATGCATTCATGTCCAGTTGTGCTCACAGCTACTGAAGCTATGCAACAAAAGATCAGTTTTGGGGTTCTTGAAATGAAACCAAAGCAGTTTTTGCTTTCCTCTTCCTTGTGTGTGTTCTCTCCTCTCACCCTGCATAAATCATACGTAAAACTTGCAGTCCAATTACACAGCTTTATGTATGTTTGAGCCTGAGCACTTTGCCTCCTGATGTGTCCCAAAGATAGCTTAATCTGTTGGAGTATAACTGTGAAACTGAGTGAGATTGGTCATGTCATAATATATGGTATGATAGTCAGTTATTGTTACTGCAGTATTGGACTTTGCAGTACTGATATCAGAAGACTGCAATATGCAGTAGTGTGTTCTGTGAGCAGCATAATCAATCAGATACACCAGATATTCTAGATGTTCTGAGGTTAGCCAGATACAGAAACAGTGGAAGTAAAATTACATTTCTCTGACTGACTTGCATGTTGACACATCGTCCACTGAGCAGAAAAGAAGAGTCCTCATCGACATCCATTGTTGTACCAGTCAGCTGTATTTTTAGCTCACACCTTCATCCAACATGGAAACTACCAGTTTCCTTCTGCTTCTTTTACAATAATGAAACGTGTTCAAATGTATTCCTTTGCTTGCTGCTAAATTTTTGTGCTACTGTCATTCATTCATTCATTCATTCATTCATTCATTTGTTTATTTGTTTATTAGCCTCTTAACACCAATGCAGTCACCTAAAAGAGTAAGTCTCCGGCTCTAGCCCTACGTCAGTTTCCGCTGAAGTTTTTTTTTTTCTTCTTTAAAACCACATAGCTGTTCATTAACTCTTGTGGGCACTTGCATATCAAAATTAGTTGGAATGTTCAACCCTAGTTGAGGTTTATAGTCTCATCCCTCTTCGGTCACTGTGGCAAGATTTGAATAATGCTAAGATGTACCACCACTATAATAGTACACTTTGGTAATGCCATGGGAATAGTCTCTCTCTTTTTGTTCCTCCCCTTTGTCTTCTCATTTGGTGAAAAACCTGATCCCCTCAAAGGAGATCCCCTCAAAGGAGAGTTTCCTGTATTCAGGTGGGTGTCTAGTCATGTTGAAACCAGGCTGTGGTGGTGATAATTTACAGTTTCTACTCACCAGAAGGGGGAACATCATATGAGTATTAAGACTTGTTAAGCATTCATTCATTTATTTATTTATTTATTTATTTGGTCATGCTTCATGTAAATGTTGTGTTCACTGGAACAATAACTGCTGCCAGCTTTAATAAGGAAGAGTTTTTGTTGTTTTGATTCTGTTAACCTGCCCTAAGTTTCAGGTTGTTTTCCAAAGCCAAGTGTGTCAAAAGTGCTGGCTCATTAAATTAAACAAATCAGTTTTTAATATGTAAAAATATACTGCCTGCTATACAAAAAAATCTCTTATACTATTGGGAATTGACAAAATATTATGATGCAGTAGTGATTTTTATTAAACTTTATAGCATTCATTAATGATGTTGGTACACATTATTCATGTTAATAGCTTAGGTCATGTGTAGTTTTTTAGTTACCTTCTTCTTTTTTGGTAGTCTAGCAGGGTGGGGCCTTACTCATCAGCCATGGTTTGGTGAAGTGATCAGACCATTTTGCAACATCTGTCCCCTGAGCCTGCCCTCATCACTGCTCATTTTCTCTGGAATAATTGGTGCGCTTCTGCAGCTTTCGCTCCTTATTGGATCCACTGAGTGGATAGTTTCAATCTAATTGCTTTCCTTTTGGTCTCTCCTTCATTCTGCAAAGAACTACAGAAAGATGTTTATGCTTCATTATGCTTTAAAAAGGCACTACGGAGGTGCCTCCTTAACAGCTGTAAGCTTAGCAATCAATATAATCTCTAGCTAAAGAAAACATCTTGTTCTGAGTTGGTCTCTACACACCACCCCACACTCTCTCTTCTGTAGTGCTTGCAGCAACCCAAAGAAAGTCCGTTTCACTCCATGTATGCTTTACACCTACATTAAACCTATTTTCATAAATATACCTAGATTTTCTGCATCTGTAAGACAAAGGAAAACGACGTTGTTTGCAGAGAATAAGGCACGTTTATAAGGCTGAGGCTGTTGATTGAGTAAGGCTTTGTTGGAGGTTGTAGGCCTCCTAGGACTGCATCTTGACTTGCTTTCACCTCTCAACCACGTGTTTTGTTCACTGCTGAGGTGTTAACCATGAAGAACGGCCACATGTCAGGTGGACTTTTTTTTTTTGTGGGATTTTTTGTGAGCTATGTGTTGAGGTAGGGGATATGACGATATGTTGCTATTATTGAGATAAATTGCATTATAATGTGCTACAGTTATATATAACTAAGCGCTGCTGCTCTGTGGGTGCATGTTCTATGTTTGAACTTGTGAAAATGCTTTTAAGTATAATGTTACATTTTGGTTATATAGTCTGCCATTATGTGTGCATGGTCAGACTGCTGTGTTGGCACATTTTGAGGTCTGTACAATTCAGTGATTTGGGGAAATTTTCTATTTGAGATTTTTTTTTTCCTTATTTTGATGAAAATAAATTATTTATTTTCAACAAAATAAGGTCCAGGCCTGTGTTGTGTGTGTTGGGGGTTTTTTTGGAGTTTTTTTGCCCCCCTGATTATTGCTTAGAGCATGATTGCAAACTGGAGACCTTTTGGACCAAAGTGCTGCAGAGATTAGCGTTTACCCTCATCTAATGCCCTGAATTCAGTTCATGATCTTGCTAATTAGCTGATGAGCTGAATCAGATGTGTTTTAATAAGGCAGCATGCCGAAGTGTGCAGTGTTTAGGCCCACTAGGACTGGAGCCTGACACACGTGGCTTAAAGGTTAAGCTTGCACACATCAGAGGAATGTGTATATGGGCCTTCAGTTTTCCAGGTCCATAAAAGTAGTGCAATCATCTGACTGCTAATTTGGAAAGTTTCTTAACAGTAACATTATAAAAGTAGCGTTTTAAAAGAAAACTGTATCACAAAGGCTTAGTGGTCCTAAAATTAACATAACACCTTCTATTAAACCACTAGTAATTGTCATCTGCATGCAAAAAAAAAAAAAACCCAAAAGAAAATCACAAAAATTCACATGTATTGTTTATTGGCCACTTTAGTGTCCAGAGCTAGCTTTTGTGGCTGCTGTGAAAGAATGCCACAGAGCACATAGTCAAAAATTGGACTTCGTTGAATCTTTTCAACATTTAACACAACAGAAGCTAGAACTGCTGTTGATGCCGTTATGTGAGGTGTCATGTTTTTTGTAAGAATCATGGAGAAAGTACTGGTACGTTCTGGCCCCGGAGGAGTTATTTCAAAGTGAGTTTGCCTAAATAGAACAAGTAACAACAATATCACTGTCCAGGTTTTAGGTTTTTTGAACAGCAATAAGACTGAATCCTTTTTGATGTTCTATAATTTTCGAATACATAGATACTAGCCAAGATTTATTATGAACATGTCATTCAGATATGTTCTAATACTGATTTTGCGGTAACAGAGTAAGTGCTGTATCTTATACTGTATTGAAAATGCTTTCGTTACCAAAAATGTGCCAAATTGAAATGCTGTGGGCTGAGCGTTTTTTGGGGCTCATTTACATTTTGCATGCTTATTGGCAGAGGAGTTCTGGTTTTAGTGCTGTGGAAACCTTTCCTTTGAGGCATGAGTCAATAACCCGCAGTTTCACAGAAACTGACTGCCGCCCAGATAGATATGAGACATCTGCCACACAGTGTTTCAGTGCACACATACAGATATGCACGCATGAATTTCACAAGCGCATGTGCTAAATAAAGAGTGCAGCTCTTATCAGTGACACCAAGACAACCCATGCATGAGACGCACAGACTACGCACCATTGTATGTAGATACTGTTGTTGTGGTTGTTGTATTTGAATACATAATTAATGGTATTCAAATTGTTGTTCTCACATGTAAAAATTCACTCTCTTCTCTCATTTTATTCTGTTGTCTTAATTCACATTGCTAACATTACTGGCGAATGTTAGCCACGTAATCCTTCCACTGTCAAATGATATTGGCTTATATGTGTACTTCCTGATCCTGTATTAACCAATATTAACTTTTATTTTATTTCAGGTATTAAATGAAGAATGTGACCAGAACTGGTATAAGGCAGAGCTAAATGGCAAAGATGGTTTCATTCCAAAGAATTACATAGAAATGAAAGCACATCCGTGAGTACAACTACTTCCTCTTCTCCTCTGTCTTCCAGCTGCATACATTCTCATATCACCCTTGGGAGCTTAGCCAGATATTTCTAACTGTCCCTGGTGAGTGCAGTGACAGGATTGTGTAGCTTAAGACGAAACGCATCTTCATTGTAGTTTAATCTTCTAATCTGTGAGAACAGCCAGTAGCCTGCAGAGGCTCTGGATTGCAGTAATGTGGAGCGAGAGTGTTTAGTATGGCTCTCAGTGGTAGCAGTGAACTTTTTCTGTAATCACATCAGCAGATCCCTGTGGGAGTCTGAGCATAGCTAAATCACAGTGCAGATTCTAAAAGACTCTGTACATCTGCTCACATTTTGTCAGAGACTACAGAGGCTACAGCACTGAACAGGAGTTCAAGTCCCAGCCCAGACTTGGTTTAAAGGAGTAGTTTAACAGAAAATCAAATGTACATGCATTTCCCCTTAAGCCAGACATAGTAGATCAGCCAAAACATTCATTGCCTGAAGTTTACTTCTTTAGTTTTGAAACTATGACTTTACTATAATAGAAGTCATAAAGATTCAGGGTGACATAGACTTTAATGTCCTTTTAGCTGCAATTATGTAATAGCTCCAATGCAAAACTAAAGAGGCCAACATCTTGGTGAGCTGCTGTTTTGATTTCTGGCCTTATTTCTCAGTTCTTGTTCATCCAGTTTAAACAGTTTAAAATAGTTCTTGATCAGAAGCTGATAATACCCTTGGTAAGGGGGGAGCACAGTTGCACTATCCACAGAAATGACCTTACACGGTTTTGAGAACTGCTGTACTAGATCACAGCTTTCTGACTACTCATTTGTTTACTCATTGTACTCATTCTCTGTTCAGTTGACTCTTTTTCCTGTAGAAAAACAAGCTCTTAATTGTGTCCAGGTGAATTACCGACTCTTGACTCTTACTGCCTTACTGACTCTTTCTGCCTTTTTGGCGTCCTGTAGAATGCCTTTGAAATTTTGCTATGGAGAAATGCAATAGCTAAATGGAATAGTAATCATATTAACTTTGCGTTTCATTTTTCTGGGAAATGTTTTCTTTTGGTCTTGTTTGGAAAGAGGACCTACCAGTTAAAGAATGTGTATAGGTGTAAGTCTATCTCAGCCACTGTGTTCCTAGCTTTTGTTTGTTTGTAAGATTTTTTTCTAATGTTTACCCAAGTTTCTCTCCAGTGTTAGTTGTTGTTAGTTCCCTCTTGTTACCCAGATCTCTTGTGTTGCATGATGCTCCCACTTAATAACAATGTAGCTTCATCTGTGGCATACCTGTAGCCTACTGCCAGTCTTTTCAAGCTGCCTCTTGGGCAATTTTGTAGGACAGTTTTTTAGAGGAGAGGATATCTGCCCACAATTGGCTAACATTAGAAAAAGACACCTACAATTGGCTGTTCTCAAAATTGACAAAGGAACTAAGAACCCTTGCCACTCATTTGGAGCAGCTGTCTATGGCATCATTGAGAATCAAACCCAGGAACCTCTTTTAGCCAGTTTTGTCATGATATAAACAAACAATACTTAGCTATTTCTGGAATAGAGCATTTTCTAATTAACCACACTGTCACACGGGTCTCTGAGTGGCTCTGAGTGGGTCTCTGAGTATCTTGTGTGTTATTCCTGTCAAAGTAGCTGAACAATCTTGTCATTGTTTTTGGTACCATCTTTTAAAATTAAAAAATTTTGTCTGTCATGTTTGTCTGAATTCCTACAAGACTTTAGTGCTAATAGTACTTAGTGCAGTACATTTTCTCTCTTACTCTGTCTGCTCAGGTTCATTACATTGGGATTTATGGCCATGACTGCCTTACATGCAGTGTTGCCAGAGGAATCATATGATGATGGACATTATAAATTATAAAACTATTTGTTGCCCTTTAGTGTATGTTATTCAAAATGCATCCTTATACTTCCACATGCACAAATCGATATGTCTTAATTTCCAATGCAAAGGAATTCAGGTGAAACAAAAATAATAGAATAAAGTATCTAGACCGACCATAGATGGCATAGATTACAAAAGAGGACATAAAGTTGTGAATATCTGTTGTGCTTGTTTTAATTGTGGAAGTCAATCACCTATAGTGAAGAGAAGCTGAGTTTGTGTGTGCACCTGCTGTGAAGAATGCTGGAATAATGGCAAAGAGACACATTCAGTTCCAAAAATAACAATATATGCCGGTGATATCCAAGAAATGTAATTAGTATTTGTTTTTTTCCCAAATTGTCCCTGAAACAAACCTGGTTTTGAGTAGCTCTTTTTTTTTTTGATTGATTTCATTAGATAGTGCTATGCTTCTTTGTTTACACTGCCCATTTGTTTTATGTGTCCTCTTTTGACAAACTTTTATTATTTAAAATCACATTTGTAGTAAATGTCACAAATTCAGTATATCAACGACAGTTTCGTAAAACAGACATTAACACTGTTGGTGTCTTTCACTTCAGATCTTGTGGCTCCTGTAGTTTAGTCTCTTTGCTCCTTTTAGCACTTGATCCGAGTCTGGCTGGAGTTTCAGATCACAGATTGGAGCACAGAGCACTCATTCATACAAAGATGAAAGAAAAAAATTATTAATTTGGCTTCGCTTTTGATTTCATGCCCAATTTTTGATAATTATAAATAAATTGAGAAGTGGTTGAGAGAACATCTTTTGATTATGCTCTATGCTGACAAAGTTGCATGAGTTTCAGATCTGAGTGTTCAGCACTGCTTCATGTCGGAAATTGTATCAATGTTTCGGATGTCAGTAACTCTGAATTAGTTTGTTTGTTTATTTTAATTAACTCCCATCACCACCTCTCCTTTTGAAGAATTTCTTTGTAATTGTTATGTAATATATAAAGTACAAAGGCCAACAAAGAGTGACTAAATATAGTAGCTCAAACATAGGCAGTAACACATGAGAATAGAAATGAAGGAAAGGAGAAAATGATATATAACATTTTTGAAAAAATAATATAGTGAATCATACATGTGCTGCAAATGCATGTACATGTAAATGGCTTTGTCGTCCACATCCGGCATGTCGTAAATGAAGATCTGGTTTTGCCCACTTCTGCCTACAGTGTGAATGCAGCCACAGTGTCTGTCTTTTTTTTTTCTCACTGCTTTTAGGCACTATTGAATATTGACCCACTCAGTGTCACTGGCAGCCCAGCAGGTCCTAGCTAGGATCATGGGCATGATGGGAGTTCAGTCATTTGTCCGTCAGTCATTTGTGTGTGTTTGCATAACAGGCGACTTTTCTGTCGGTCAGAGAGAAAGGAATGGGTACTAAGGACAGCTGGACCTTGTGGGAGTCTCCACAGGGTTACCATAGTCCTCAGGGGCAGGGAGGCGTCCCTTATCAGGCCCTGGGATGTAAATGTGTGTAATCATACAGAGAGGTGCTGATCTGATGGCTACTTCCTCATTACATGCTGTATGTCTGTGCTGTAGATGAATAGGAAAGAACAGACGTGAAACATCTGCTGTTGTCTTGTGTATAAAATAAAGCATGTTGCTATGCAGTCTTCATAGACAAATGTCAGTAGAATGGGTCACCGTAAAGGGCTCAGTGACTTTAAACACGGCACTGTCATAGGATGTCACCTTTGCCACAAGTTAGTTCATGACATTTCTCCGCTGCTAGGTCTCCCCGGGTCAAGTAAAAGTGCTGTTAATGTAAAATGGTAGCTTCAACAACTGCTTAGCCACAAAGCGATAGACCACACAGACTTAGAGTGGGGCTGCCAAGTGCAGAAGCATGTAGCATGTCGCCTGTCTGTTGCATTGCTCAATGCAGAATTTCAAACTGCCTCAGCACAAGAACTGTGCGTCAGGAGCTTCATGAAATGGGTTTTCATGGCCAAGTAGCTGCACCCAAGCCTAAGATCACTATGTGCAATGCCAAGCGGTGTAAAGCATGCTGCTAAACTGTAAAGCCAACAGTAATGTTTGGGAGAGGAGGGATGATGGTCTGGGGCTGTTTTTCCGGGTTTGGTCTCGGCCCCTGAATTCAAGTGTTAATGTTCGTGCTACACCATACAAAGTTGTTTTAAACAATTATATGCTTCCAACTTTGTGGCAACAGTTTGGGGAAGGCCTTTTCCTGTTTCAGCACGACTAAGCAAGGTCCATAAAGACATGGTTTGATGAGTTTTGGTGTGGAGGAACTCCAGTGGTCTGCACAGAGCCCTGACCTCAACCCCACTGAACATTGTCAGGATGAATTGCAACGTCGATTCCAAGCCAAGACTTCTTGGCCAACATCGGAGTCTGATGTCACAAATGCTCTTTTGACTAAATGGACACAAATTCCCACAGACACACTCCGAAATCTTGTAAGAAGCCTTACCAAATGATTGGAGGCTGCAAAGAGGGGTGCAACCCCATATTAATGCTTATGTTTTTGAAATAGTTGCACACGGGTTTCATATAGGTGTGGTGGACAGATGTCCACATACTTTTGGCCATGTAGCGTATTTTGAAGATCTTTTTGATGGTTTGATTGTTGTGGACTGTAAACAGAGAATCAGAAACATTTAACACATTAAATGGAAAACGTTGATGGTTCATTCTACAGCAACGTCCACTTTTCTACCTATCCATAAGTGTCACTGGTCACAGTGACCGTAACACCAGTGACATTTTTGATGAAAATACATTTTACAAAATGGCTGCTACAGAGCATCAAACCACATGTTGTCAGTCATGGAATATCCACTAAAATATGTAATTAAATCAATTTGTATTCTATTTTTTTCACAACTACCTAAGAAAAAAGTAGGTCATACCAGTGACTTCAACTAAAAGCTTCACATGAAATCCTGAGCTAAATGAGAAAATGTCTGATAACTGAAAAGACACAGTGGACGTACCATGTGCTTTTTTCATAGATCCTCAGAAAATAGGTAAAAGGAGGGCAAGCACTTCTGTTAGGCTTGGAATTCTAGATAAATGATTTAAAAACCAATATTGCTAAATTGATGACTCAAGAAGGTGTAATTGTTAAAATAACTTATCCTAGCATGTTTTAAGTGTAATATATCTGTAAACACTAGGGACACAAAAATGGACGTTTCTGTAGAATGACCCTGATCAAGTGGTAGCAGTTTTAGACTCAGCTACATTAAGAATGTGAGTTTGGGTCAGATAAATACATAGTGAGCCAGCTCTGAAACAGGACGCTTGCACACCTGCCTCGTTTGTTGCGGACCAGTTAAACTTTCATTATTTGTTAGTTTTGACAGGTGTGAACACTTCGCTAGGGCTGTACTTTGACGTACAATGATATTGACACAAAATCGGATGTTCAGTAAAACTGTCGGATATCACAAAGTTATGAAAAGCGAATAATTATTATTAATTAATGCCCCTGACTGGAAATGATGTAACTAACCTCTCCTTTACACAAATAGGACAATACAAAATTTAAAAAGCACCTACTATTGTGCACAATAAAAAGAAATACCAACAGCTGCTTGCATCAGAACTGCAAGCATGGTTTTTATGCGTTGCAAAGCTGAAAAACAGTCAGCATTACCTCAACAGATTTTTCTAAAAAGGCTACGAAAATCTATATTTACTTTTTATCTTTTTATATAGTCACACAAGAACGAATGTTGTATTTTTGTTTAGTTTTTAAATATGTTTGTTGTGACAATAGCCATTACTGCCACGCACACTTAAAACACAGTACTAGGAATGAGAACAGTCCTAACCTTTGACGCATTTTTACAGGCGTGTGTGTTACCTAGTTACCTATTCACCACATGGAGGAGTAGGGTTCAATCCCAGTGCAGAAAACACTCGTTGGTAAATGATATGATGTTTCTCTGGCATGTATGAAGTCAGTTAATATGTTCTACTATAATATAATAACATACTATAATAGTATGTCATTTCAGCTCTTAACAATGTGTTTATTGTGTAAACTTGTAGCATGAAGTTTAAAAAGTACGATTTATCGTGCAGCCCTACGCTTCATTCTGATTGGCTGAATTTAAACTAATGCAACATTTAAACTAAATCGATCATAAAGAAATAGTTTATTTTTATTACTCTGTGATACACTTAGACATTAGGTATATCTATTTTCATGCGACATAATGGGTATGATATGTTTTATTTAGAATAAATAAAATTAAACATAGTAATAAATAATAGAGTGCTTGTATTAAATGTTTGGCAAGCCAAAGAACACAAACTTGTAGTATTGGATGCACTACAGCCGTTGCAGTGTGAAACCAACCAAATAAAAAAAAAGTCACTAAAACCCGAACTTCAGCGAATAAACTAGACTAACAGGTGCAAACAGGCTAAAAACAGAAGTTTTGACTCATAATGAAATTATTACTTAATTATTTGTGGTGTTCAGGGGAGTGACGTGAAACTGTCACTTTGTGTGTGTGTGTGTGTGTGTGTGTGTGTGTGTGTGCGCGCGCTGTGCGTTAATTGGTGTGTAAATGCGTGAGAATATAAAAATATTGTGATTGTTCTAGTTGTTCTTTTAAGGGGCCAAACAAAACTTTTTGTTTGTTTTCTCCAGTGCCCCTGAGGTAAATTTCCACACTGTGTGTGTGTGTGAATGATGTGCGTGTGTGGGATGACGCAAGCCGAGCCCGTCCCCATCCTCTTGTACACTGATGTTAATTGCTCGACAGACTCTTTTTATCAGACCGGGACCTGAAGTGTCCTCAGGCTATCCTAAGCCTTTCCGTACAGGACTGCTTTAATTCTGAGAACTTTGTCTCATTCTCTTCATTATTCATCTAACCTTACATGCAGTCCAGTCAGATTATCAGCTTTGACAGCTATTTAATTATTAACTTCCCTCTGCTCTCATCTCCCCTCTTCACTTGTGCCTAATTCATTTTCTCTATTAACATTTTTTTTCTGCCTCAACTTTTCTGGACTGTTCTGTGTGCTCTGCAGATGTTCTCTCCTCTCTCAGATCTTTATCTCTCCCCTCACCCCTGCTGTGTGTTTTCTCTCATCACTCAACCTTCTGGCTGCTTGGCTGTAAACCTCAGTTTACTTCTAATCTGAAAATAACATCATTAAGTTAGGCAACACAGGTTACTTGCATAGCAGAGAATGTACCACAGAATACAGGTATCTAGACCTCCAGTCTGTTTTGAGTCATCGCCTAGCGCGAGATGATGTATATTGTCGACACCAGAATACCGGTCGCTATGTCACATCATGATAAAGACTTTTAATTTTAGCGGTGTTGTTAGATGTAGATGGTTATATCCATAATAATTCTGTTCCAGTCCCTATTGCAATGCTGGTACAATACACTATGAAAGGTTCCTGATTCGTGTCATTTTAAGAAAAGAAAGTAACAAAGTAGTTCAATCAAAACATGCTTTGCAAGGCATTATTTTCACTACAAGTACTCCGTAAGAATAATGTAATTATTATTAAGGTATTTCAAAATATCATGAATCTATCAGCCTAAATATTCAGAATAATAGTTGAGGGAAAGTACCTCTTTATCCACTACTCTAGCCTTGATGATTGATTTCTCAGCAGTGCTAACACCAGGGTCCATGTGGTAATTATACTGTATGTGTACATGTGCAGGTGGTTCTTCGGGAGGATTCCTCGGGCCAGAGCGGAGGAGCTGCTGAACAAACAGAGGCATGACGGAGCTTTCCTTATTAGAGAGAGCGAGAGCGCACCTGGAGACTTCTCCCTGTCTGTCAAGTAAGTGACCACACTCAAGCACACCCTCATTCTCTCTCACTGTGATATTCATGTTTTCATTATATTTTTCTCACGCTTCATCTTTCATGCTAATCTCTCTTTGCGTTTGCCAGCATCTACTTAATACTTCTGATTTTATCTTCACTTCGCTTGCACGAGCAGCACAGGTTACGTGCTGTTCACTTGTGATGGCTCTGCACCACAAAAAGGCTATGCCTGTATCATAAGTGGTATTTTTGTTTTAATATAAACAGAAAACAACATACATACATATTGCTAGATAGAAATCCATCATTCTGATTCTGACATTTGTTCCTTTGAATTCATTCATAATTAATTATAATTGAAAGAAACTTGTTTCCGTGCTTTTTTTTCCTCTTCACTTCATGTACAGATTCAGTTTCAATGAATGACCTCAAGCCAAACACTCTGACAACTTTTTCATTCTTTTAATCAGTTGTTAATCAGCTCATGTGTGATCTACATACCAGGACAGAATTTGATTAGTAGCCAGGAAACATGTTTACCTGTCACACTTTTAATTGAATCCAGAGAGAGATCAATCATTTTGTTTTGACATCTCTAGACTGTGCAGAGCATTTCAACCTTTCTTCAGGATGTCTTTCCATTCCAGTCTCTGTAGGCCTTTAACTGACCTCTAGTGGTCATTTCACTCTACAGGTCCACAGTCTTCCCTTTGATGCCTGCTTTGTTTCATCTGCTCACCTGAGTGTGGGTCTGTGTCTGTATGTGTGTGGGTCCAGGTTTCCTTCTACTGTCTGTCTGTGTGTCATTAATCTGTTCTGGCCTTTCGTGAGCAGTTCTATATGTAAAACAACTCTTTGATTGTCGTCAGCATAATTGCTTGTTTTATCCCAACCCCACGTGCATGTTCCCTCACTGATAAACACGGTGCCTGCCTCAGTTTCCAGTCAGTCTCATGAGTGTGCGTGTGTTTGTGTGAACTATGATAAGGTCATACCGCAGCTCACGCCTGACTCAGACGGCTAGACATTTGAATACATTTTATTGTCAGATTTTACTTCGGCACTGTAATTAGATTGTTAAGGATAAGCTTAGAGCGGGCTGTATTACTATCTACAGAGTAACTCGCCAAGTCTGAAACCGGGTTATGTGCTACTGTATCTACTGTCAGCATCTCTGTTTGCTCCAGCCCTTGTCTGTCTTCTATGGGTCATAAATAGGCCACGCTCACTTACATGTGCTTTCTCTCTCTCTTTGCCTGCAGGTTCGGTAATGATGTGCAGCATTTTAAGGTGTTGCGTGATGGAGCAGGGAAATACTTCCTGTGGGTGGTAAAGTTTAACTCACTCAACGAGCTGGTGGATTATCATCGCACCACCTCCGTCTCTCGAAACCAACAGATCTTTCTACGAGACATTGAGCAGGTGCCTCAGGTCAGTCAGCACTTTTACACTCTGATGCAAAAGGAAGAAGTTATGCAATATGGGCCGCCCTTCCCTGAGACAGTCATAACAGCAGTGACCATGCACTATTGCAGCATTTGGTTCATTTAGCATTTGAAGTACAGGCCACACAGGGACTAAATAACTGAATAAACATATGACACAATGATTGTTTGCATTCATTTCCTATTAAAAGAATTTACAAAATTTCTCCTTACCCAAAATGTAAAACATTAGCTAGGACATTTAGTTCTCCTGGAGCTAATCTAATGTAGCTAACTAGTAATGGTTTGATTATGGTAAGCAGTTAGAATTGTGGAAACTAAATAAATTATCGAACTGTGCGAAGTTGTTAAGCAATCTCAAGTAGACAAATGTGTCTATTTCTGATGCTGTATAAAATACTGATATCCTAAAAAAAAAACGCCAAAGTTACGTAAAAGCAGTAATAGCAGCTGTTTTGAAACCTGAATTTTGTCTGTATGTTCGTATACCAAAATTGAAGGACTTTGCTCTGGCGTTTGCACAGAAATGCCCTGTGCAGTATATGCTTCAAAATAAATCTTATTTTGAGTTCTTTATTTGTTCTTGTGTTTAAAATGCTATGCTATTATAAAATTAGAGAATTTCAGGGCTCTGGACGGGGTCATTCGAACATTTCTAACTCGTGTTTATCTGTTCTTGTGTCTGCAGCACCCTACATATGTGCAGGCCCTGTTCGATTTTGACCCTCAAGAAGACGGTGAGCTGGGATTCCGGCGTGGAGATTTCATCCAAGTCTTGGACAACTCCGACCCCAACTGGTGGAAGGGTGCGTGCCATGGCCAAACAGGAATGTTCCCACGCAATTACGTTACACCTGTCAGTCGGAACATGTAAAAAAGAAAAGAAAAAAGAAAGTCCCTCTCTTCCCACACACACTTTCAAACAACCCTAAACCCCCCACCCCCACCCCATCCCTTAACACCCTGTAATTTGCAGAGTGAAAAGGAGAAATGGAAACCTTGAAAATAGAAAGAAGAAAAATGTGTGGAGAATGGATGTCACATCTCTTCAGTGACATCTGGGTGATATCAACGCTGATTCCTGAGAATATCTGCTTCACCATGAACGCTTGCAGCCAGGCCTGTGCAGTCTGCCAGGGCAAAGAGATAAAGCAACACCACACAGATTAAAACAAAACATGATGATTCTGTCTTTAGATTCACCCTGCTGCTTCTGCCTTTTCCCCACTCCCCCCACCCCTCTTTCCTTTCTAGTGCATTTTTTCCTTTTCATTATTTTTTGGCTGCATGTTTTAATCACTGCATAACAGAAAATTCTAAGGCTGTTTTAAGTTTTAAAAAAATTAAAAAATAAAAAAATATATATAAGATTCAAGTTCAAAAAGAAAACTGATGCTTCATACGAGTTTCCAAGTCTGAAATCATGGGCACAAGAGCGTTGTACATCAATTTTGGGCTGTGTAAAAAAAGACAAAAAAAGAAAAAAAATCACCTATAGAGAGAATCCATTTTTTAAGAATATATATTATATATTTGTATGTGTTTGTCTGTTTTACCTTTACTCATGTTTTTTTTTTTTGGTTTTGTTTTTTTTTCTCTTTTTTCCACTTGTAAATTATGTTCAGTTTTTTGGATGAAACAGTAGCTCTGGGACATGCTGAATCGTCAGTATAATTTTTATGAATTATATCTGAGATTGCTCAGATAAAGCCACATGATATTTAAATCATCACATATTCCATTGGAAACGTTTTTTAGCTGCATACTTTTGCAATCAAACCATTTATTGTCAGGATGCTACCGTTCAGTGACATGCAAGTGAGAGCCATTTATCCAGCAGGAGTTTGTCTAATGTGAAATCGTATTAAGAGGCCAGACACCAATGTAAGCCAAGGTATTTATTGCAGCCACTTTTACTTCTTGGGCCGCGAATGTAGCTGACTTTAGACCGTAGAAATAAACATGAGGGAAGTAAGGTCGGAGTTCTGAACCACACAACTGCTTTGCGAGAGGTGAGTCTATTTACAGTGTCAAAAACGATATACAGTGTATGCATACATATGAACCTATATGCACCGGCGTGTATCATTTTAACCAGAAGATTTTAAATCTTCAGATTCTGATCTTTCTTTGCTACGTATTCGCCAGTCCACAACTGGCATCAGTAATACCAGTATGAGAAACCATAGAAAGAGAGAGTCTTTGTATGTGAATAGTAGAAATATCAGCTTTTTTTTGTCTTTTTTTTTTTTTAAACCTCCCCTTTGTTCTTTGAGCACTTGTTCGGTCAGCCATTTTGATTCCTTCGTGTCTTATGTTTTTTTGGAATTTTTTTTTCCCAGCCTTTTTGTTTTGTGACCTGTAGTTCGGTTGTGTTGTGTTTATTTGTTCTCTCTGGATTAGTGCCTTTTTCTCTGGTGTGTCAATGTCTCCGGCCTGCTGCTTTGGTCTGTGTGGCAGGCTCTGTCAGTACCGCAGCGAGAGATCATGTCTGAACTCCTGCCTCCAAACCCACCAACCCCCCACCCTCCCAACACTCACTTGCACCAGTGTCTTCATGGAACCAATTCTTCCTATTTAAATGTCTTGCATTCTCTTACCTAATGATACTTAAATGTTTTGGCTGTTTCTTTTGGCTCTTTTTTTTAATTTGCTCAATTAATAAAAATGAAATTCTAAAAGTATCTTCAGGTTTATTGTCATTACTTCAGTATCATTTCTTTGTCACAGTGTGGTTTGGGATAGATCTTGCTTATTGCCCCACACCCTGTTCTCTCATTTGACATTTTGGCCAATAAAACACTCTGTTCTTTTTCCCTGTAACAAACCTAATTTGTCAGACTCTGACATGGCCAAACTAGATTTTAAAGTGTTTTTTTTGTAACCACAATGCCAGCTAATGTGGTGCTCAGGTGACCACTGATTACCCCCCTGCTGAGCTGGTCCACCTGTCACCACAGATGTTGTTCTATTTGCTAATGTTTGCTAATATCACTATGAAATAAGATCTCAAATAAAACAAGGTTTTAAATAAGTGGGCATTACAGTGAGAGGCTATGGCTGCAGTAGCTAAACAGAACCTGATGACACAAATATCAGATGGCGTCAGGAGCCACAATAGTCCCCACAATGGCTGTAATAATATCCTAATAATATTTTTTTAAGCCATACCTCTGTTTTTTTTTTGGCACTGAAGCATGCTTGTTAATTGTAAGTACAGTGTACATATGACCAACATGTTTCTGATATTCTAGCCACAATGTCTTGATTTTGGCCACAAAATTGGCTGTGTGTTGATCTGTCTACCCCTGCTGTTTTCTATTAAATTGAAACCCCACCATTACTACTGATGACAGTGCGTCCTGCTTTGTCAGAGATCACATAAGCAAGTGTGTTTGAGGTTTGCACCTTTTTAGTACTGGTGCAAAACCCAAGCACACATCAGAGTGACTTCATTGCTATTGTGATGATTGTGCCTGAGCTTGAAGAAAATGTTTTGGCAGCTATTTGGTGCTCCAAAGTTGAAGAACCCAGGGGGTAAAACATGCTGAAAGCAGTTTAGATTTCAACATTATTAACCCCAAAGGAAAATGCAACACCCACCACCACCCCCCACCACCCCACAGTCCAGCTGAAGTCCAGCTTGGTCATTAAGTGTGTGTTGCCTTGGGTCCTGCATGTGTGCAGTGGCTCTGCTCAGCCAGAACCTAAACATCACATTACTTACAGTCTGGTGAACCGTCTGCCTGTGTATGTGTGGTTTGTTTGTCTATTTGGCTTTACGTCAGTGCTGGCCATTATGAAGACCACTTCCTGGCTGCATTTGGACTGCAGTACTGGCTGTCTCTTGAGTGACCACAGCATGTTGCTCTCATGTGAATATTAAAAATGCATTTAACCATCTATCAGTACTGAATAGAGCTATTGTCTGGAGATCGTTGGACCCCTTTGACGGTTAAATCCACCAAAACATTTTTATACATTCACAGCTGAACTCTAGAAAGCTGTCGAATACTAATCCAGTTGGAAAGTCTTTTTAGATGGAAAGAGGATACAGCCAGTGATGGTTTGCTTCAGCCCCCACCGCCCCTTCCTGCTGTAGGTCATGTACAGACTTCTAACCATATGGCACGACTCAGTAGGCCTCAGGCCAGATGCGGGATGAATCTGAAACAGGTCATCTGCACTGCTTGACATTTTTCAAGACAGTTGGAGATGTTCAAAGCTATGGGTGGCCCTGAGACTAATATCGACAGATCGTGTGAACTTGGATGTCCTGTGTGACACTGATGACCCTGCATGAGAACGCCTGCAGAAGGATATTGCATCAGTCAGGCCACCACAAATATGACCAAATACTGAACTCTGAAAAGGGAAACGTACTGCAAGAAGGCTCCCTACTCAACTGAGATTCATTTGCTGGAAGGATTTAGGGTTTAGAAGTAATCTGACACTTCCAAATTTGCAGCTATTGAGGTGGTGCAGTGTGAGGAACAAAGACAGATGTGATGTTTGTTTAAAAGGAAATTCCACTTATGTTTCAAACTGTCTGCACATCTCAATTGCTGAGATATAAACGTTCAGAAATTACAAATGTCAAATATACGTTACGGAGCCACTAAAGTGCCACAGTATACAAATATAAATATATATGTATATGTATATGGTCATTGTACAGAAACGTCCATTTTTGCGTCCCCAGCGTTTACAGATATATTACACTTAAACACGTTAGGGTTACAATTTAGTTATATTTTAAAATAAAACAATAAGTTATTTTAATAATTACACCTTCTTGAGCCATCAATTTAGCAATATTGGTTTTTAAATCATTTATCTAGAATTCCAAGCACCACAGAAGTGCTTGTCCCCACAGTCATGTGTACAGGGTGAGCGCCATATTTTGAAGAAAGACATTTTTCTGCAATTTTAACTGCAATAATCTATACATGACTATGGAATATATAAATTAAATGACATAAAGAAAACAAATGGCAAATAATCATTATAAGATATATAATCAAAGTTGTTGTCCCCAGGAGTCGTGTCACTGGTGTTACCGCGTAACAAAATCTCTTATTTTGAAATAAAAATCACACTGATGACATCACGACTTCATTTTACCTATTTTCTGAGGATCTATGAAAAAAGCACATGGTACGTCCACTGTGTCTTTTCAGTTATCAGACATTTTCTCATTTAGCTCATGATTTCATATGAAGCTTTTAGTTGAAGTCACTGGTATGACCTGCTTTATTCTTAGATAATTGTGAAAAAATAGAATACAAATGGATTAAATTACATATTTTAGTGGATATTCCATGACTGACAACGTGTTTTGATGCTCTGTAGCAGCCATTTTGTAAAATGCATTTTTCATTAAAAATGTCACTGGTGTTACCTTTCTTATGTGTAACACCAATGAGGATTGGTAACACCAGTGACACCTATGGACAGACAGAAAAGTGGATGTTTCTGTAGAACGTAGAATGAATATATACATATAAAATCACAGTGAATTTGTATATATATAGCCTCTTCTAACTGTACCTGTCGCCTTTGGGTCACGTGCACGCTCTGGGGTCACTCAGGTGACCACAAAGGACACACAAGAAGGCTCCATTAAAAAACTCTGCCGCCAGTGGATTACAGAAAAAAGAGATAACAGCGGCTGATTTAACTGTTTAATAACATGCCATGTAAATGTGTCCAAAAATGCAAACATGCTGGTCTCTCTGTACTCCAGCTCGCCTTATCTTTATCTTAACAGGCAGACGGATCAGAGAGGTGCTCTTTTCACTGTGCTGCATTAAAGACTCTCCTAAAAAGGAATGAGTGTGAGCTCACCGGCACCACAGAACACCCACAAAACCTGATTACATCTGGCTGCCCCCGGGGGATCAGTCTGTGAATATTAAAAGCAGTTGACTTGTTCCACCATTACGCTCTTAAAAAAGATAGTTCTTCAAGTGTTCTTTAGTAAAGGCATTGGTTCTCTATAGAACCATGAACACCCAAAGAACCATTTGCATGCTTAAATGGCTCTTCAGATTGATGGAGAATGTGTTGTATATGGTTCTGTATGGCACCAAAAAAGTCTCTTCTATTGTTACAAGCCTGACATTGCAATAATAGCAGAAGCCTTTTTGGTGCTACGTGGTACCATTATCAAAAAGTTTCTATCTAGAACCATATAAAACAAGTTCTCCATCAATCTGAGGAACCATTTCACCATGCAAAGACCATTTAAGCGTGTGAATGGTTCTTTGAGTGTTCATGGTTCTACATCTTTTTTAAGAGTGTACATGCTCTATTATTCATTACTCATGTTGATGGCACTGTTTTAACTGTTTAATGCAGAGTTTACTCCTCTAAAGCTTCCTCTGTAAACCTTGTAAAGCTTGAGAGGCATTTAAACCCCTCTTTGAGAATGTGCAGTAAATCTGTGTGGGCCTTCTTCACAGCATTTTAACATAGTGACGTAATAGCGCCATCTGCTGGCGAGATAGGACCCATTTTCTCAGGAGAGAATCACTACACTGCAAGTGCTTCCATACCTAAATTTACTTTAGCCCTGGGGTGGAAAATACTTGAGTAGTTAAGAAAAGTTTCTTTCCAAAATGCTGCATATCTATTTTTAACCATTTTTAACCAAAAAAATAACAGCTGATGTTTAATGGAAATGTTTAGACTCAAGGAAATACGTAACCCTGACCTCTGTAGCATACAGTCAATTACTTTGGATGATCATTTGGACACTCTTCTGTATTTAATAAAGGAACAGAACACCTATTCACTCCAAACATGCTTATAATAGAAGCCAATGGGCAGATGCTGCAGCACCTTCCCACTAGCTTCTATTATAAGCATGTTTTGAGTCAACAGGTTTTCTGTTCATTATAGGAAAATGAATGTCCATGTTAACTGATGATATGCAGCAGATAGAGATTACACTGTCAGAAATAAAGGTTCTCTACAGGTACTTTTTTCATTCATCAAGGTACAAACAATGTAAATGTACCTCAAAGGTACAGCAGTGGTGCTGAGGCCCAGTTGTGTACCTTAAGTAAGTTTTTCCAGGTGAAAAGTACATATTTATATATTTTCATAACCTAATGTATTAAAACAGAACAATAACATAAAAATCCTGGAGAGGCGACAGGGTGTGTGGAGTCAATACAACTTAGAAAACATAATCTCAGCGGATTAGTGGAAAAGTTTCTTTCCAAAATGCTTGGACAGAGCAAGTTTGTGCAAAGAATAACAGCTGACGTTTAATGGAAAACATATTTTATTTCACTAATAAAGGTGATAATGATAATACAGCACTGATATTTCTTGTGTGTGAAGCCCACTCTCGACAATGTATATAATGGAAACAAGAAAATTCTGAAAAATGGTATGTAAAGCATTTTGGAACAAAACACTTCAATTGTACTTCATAAGCATCATTTTGGAAGATGTGTATTTAAATAAAATTCAAGTCAAGTCAAAGTTTATTTGTACAGCACTTTTTACAACAGGCCATGTCGCAAAGCAGCTTTACAGAAAAATCCAGGTCCGAGTCCCCATGAGTGTCGCCAATGGCAACAGTGGCAAGTAAAAAAACTCCCCAAGAGCAAGAGGAAGAAACTTTGAGAGGAACCAAGACTCAAAGGAGAACCTATCCTCCTCTGGTCGACACCGGATAGGAAACAACACAAGAACAAAATGAACAGAGGAGAAGGTTTTTACATTAGTGTAAAATATTAAAATACAGAAAAGGGGAAACACAGGTGAAGCAATGGCTCTGATTAGATAGTTTGAGTCTGTCCAGCAGCAGTATCAACAGGAGGGTCAGTGGCATGCAAGTGAGAATTGCCCAGCGTTGCAACTAAATATTAAAAAGAGAAAAAAGACACTTTTTCCTCCTTAGATTTTCATTTAGACCTTCAAATTACTTTATTTATTGTTTTTTATTTTTAAAACAATTCGTATCATAATAAAATAAGCCCAACTCTAACTTTGTGGTAGGGCGGGCTGCTCTAATTAGAAAAATATTGTTTATTTGTTGAAACATTTACTATTTTCATTTATATACCTGATGATGTTAAATGCTGATACTTTTTGACGTTCACTCAAGCATGTTTTCAGCTCCATGCTTACACTTTTAACTGTGGAATACTTTAAATTTTAATACATATTTTGGGTATAATTTCACTACACTTTTTCTTCCTGATGTAGCCATAAATTAAAAAATGTTTAATTAGATCATTTGTAAAATGCTATTCTACTGTTCTAATGGGTCCTTTTACATGTGTTTCTTTTGAGAGTATAACTAGGTAATACTCATTCAAAGATGATTATTACTGTAGAAATGGGTTATGATGGGGTATATTCCTGTCTTAGAAGGCCAGCAAGCCAGGAGCTAAGTCACCATACTGTCATAGTTTGCCTTAGGCAAGTGTCAGGTAGGCTATCACTACACTTCTTTTATTTTTTTGACATTTAACATTATTTTTAGTTCCACCGAAAGGTGTGGGTTTCTGCACGCTGGCAGGGAGAGGACAAGAAAACAGGGCTGTATGTATGGATGTATCAGTAAAAAGCTGACCTTCATCTCATCGCCAGTCTTTCTAAGAGTGCAGATACTTATGGTATGCTTTTAATACTGGAGTCAGTGACAAGTCGATTCCAAACTGAAGCCTTATCATGAGCATCTTCATGAAAGTAACGATTCTCAGATGTATCTGTGAGACTTAAATGAAAGTCTCTGGTCATTTGTAGTTTATCCTTATTTGTTTCAAAAATTCTACCTAATTAAATGGTTGAGATGTAAACAAAGCCATTGGTGTCAAATGCCTCTTTCTAGAGAAACTTGCAAAGACTTGTTCACAGTGGTGGTGATAGGAACTAGACCTCCATCTCTAAAAGCTCCCTCACAGAAAGTTACTCCATTAAATGGTTAAATATATGCTTCCTGATGTCTGAGACATTGTTTCAAAATAGTTTGGGGATAAAGATATGGCTTAAAATGTATTTGAATCCATTAATTTTAATCCATTGTATTGTAATGGATTCAAGGGTACATGCAAAGCACTGTCAGACAAAACAGTCGACAAAAAAATTTGACTATTTTACCATCATCAACATTACATACACTCAGCAGACACGTGTATATTCACTGTGGTTTTGGATAGTAAATAAAACGGCTATATTTGTATAGACATGGCGACCCCTGGTTCCCATCAGTACCACTGTAAAGTAATCAGAGTCTCAATGAGCCAGTTCACATCAAACCACTCTGAATGACTCTGCTAACATCTCAAAGACTGAATTACAAACAAAATGGTGGAATTCTCCTTATACATGAGCAAAGTAGGCTATCATGCTCAAAGTACTCAAACACCTAGCTACCCCACAGGACGAGATACACAGCTAATAATGGCCCATATTCACAAAGCTTTACAAAGTAGAGGTGCTGATCTAGGATCAGATTCCTCTCTTATTCACTAGGCCCTTACTGACAGGACCAGATCCTAGATCAGTACTCCTACTCCGACAAGCTTTATGAATACAGGCCAATGTGAGTTTGTGGTAATTTAAGCAAGATTTATTACAAGATTGGATCAGATTTATAGTTTTTCCCCTCAGTCATCCGATCCTGTATTTTCGGCTGATATCAGCCCAATACTGATACCCATAGACACTGTACATCTCCAATTAACGTTGAAAGACCACTCAGTGAATGTTTGCAGGTTTCGTTGAAAGACGAAAAGACGTCACATTTATTGTCCTTCATTGCTATATGTGACGTATGTTATGAGTAACTAATAATAAATTAAAACGTTAAAACGGTACCGTAGTCGGCAGGATTCGAACCTGCGCGGGGAGACCCCAATGGATTTCTAGTCCATCGCCTTAACCACTCGGCCACGACTACACACCTGATCACTACGGCGTCCCGAAAGGTTCAAATGTACTGACACTGTGGGAACACGCGCTGAAAACAATGTTGATTTAAAGACATTCCGCGCGATTTATCACGTAGATAACTGTAACATACACAGTTTTGCACTTTTGCGAGAGAGTTTAGCGGGAATGGAAAATGTAGCGTTAGCCTGGGACAGTCTTTTAGCTACCGAGCTAAATCGTACCTTGAGTAGGCTAAGGTAGCTGAAGTAGCTAACCTCACAAGCCAAAACAGTCATTATCCTGGAAAGCAGCCGTGCAAGTGTCACGTTACTAGCAGACTTAGCCAAGTATGAAACGTAAAAGCGCGTGTTTTGTCAAATGCCAGATTTTCAATGACCAGTTTTTACGATTCGCGATTTGTTTACAGGCAGATGATGCTGCTCGTGCCATGCGGCCCAAACAAAGCAAACAAAAGATAACTTGAAGTCAAGCGACAAAAGCTGACTGAGCATCACTTCTTCGTAAGTCAGCCAGAAGGTCCCATCATACCTCCTCAAACTGGATTAAACCATGATTTGGTTGATCCACAACTGCAGTTAAGCTAAATTTTCCAACAGTCGTGAACGTTTACCATGTTAAATAGTAACAGTAGTGTTCTGAGAAAAGGACACTGGGTTAATTAATTAATCTCAACCCAATCTACAGCGTGGGGCCCTTGGAGGTTAGTAAGAAGTGTCGGACAGGATGGGGAGCACATTAGCAGTCATTGAAAGCCTTGGCTTATGGAAGTAGATGTCCCAGCAAAAATAAATTAGAACTGGGATGCAGATGGCTAGTAGGGATACCCTAGAGTAACAGTGAAAAGTGAATGAAAACAAGTCATACATCCCTGCTGAGAAAATCATAGAACCCATTAAAAGGTTCTCTTGGTTCCTGGTGGTGTCCATTAGTCAATAATGGTGTTTTATGGTTTCCTTTTGTGTTAATATTACAGTATAAAGGATTCGAACAGTTTAATTTAAAAGTTTTTCAGCCGGGAAGTCTTGGGTCACTTGTCCAGTTTTCATCTCTCGCTCTAATTCTGCTCTTTCTCTGGATTACTATGTGCAGTTCTTTTAAGAGGGACAGTAATGGTGGTGCTGTGAATTCCCTGTAGGCCTCAACGTCCTGATGCATTTGCTAAAATGAAACAAAGGTCAAAATACCAAAGTTTGTCTTTTGTAACATTACCCTTCCTGCAGTAGGCTTACAGTATCACTTCACTCAGTTCCTCCGTAAAATTGTAGAGCTCAAGATGATTGAAATCAATAACATACATTTTATGAATAGGTTAGGCCTAAAATAGTTTAATTACCTATAATAACAGTTGCATAACAGTGTTAAACCATATTTGGCCAAAGGCTGTGGTTCGAGACATTACCTCAAAGGGTTATAAATGATGTTTTCATGGTCTATTGTACATCAGTGGTGCTCTGAGGAGGAGGGAAAAAAATCTGAAATCTCAGATCTTTTGAGCTCCTCCCAACCTGAAAGTTGGACAGGAATGAAGGGGAAAACAGTAGCCCATAGTCACAAAGCAATTAATTATCTTTCTTTCTTTCTTTCTTTCTTTCTTTCTTTCTTTCTTTCCATTTCAGTCTTCAAAGCTCTAGAAAGTAGAGTGGTTCACAAACCGAGATTGACATATGGGCAACTGGGAGCTGTATCTGCACCTCAATAAAAACAGCACTTATATCCAACAAAAAACTTGGTATACTGTAGTCTTTCTTAACGACTGCATTTGGTCACCATATGAATTGTTATGAATTTACTGGTTCTGGTCATATATTGAGTTGATATAGTCCTGGTTAGCTGTCTGTGTAGCAATAATGCATTATTTTCTCAATCTTGTTTGACTATGGCAAAATAAAATGTAGTAATGATGCTGTTAAACCAATACATGAAAAAAGAACCTTGCAAATGACCATATCTGAATTAACTTCAAATGTGATGGCATCCAGTTGTGTAATATTCTGTAATTCTATGCTGGTCCATACACAAAAGCTATAAAAGCATATAATTCTAATACTAGTATAATTCTTCTGGAGTTTTATAGTTCTGATCCTGTTTCCCAACTGCCACATGTGTGCCCAGGCCAAATTATACCAGGGATATAAGGAATATAAATTCTTAATCTGTCAAAATAAGACTTATGGGGTGATGTGGGAAGAGATGGTACGTTTTAATGTTCTGACAGATGACAACAACTAACTTAGGAATAATACAATTAAAATGGAATAAGAATTCATATTCAACAAAAAAAGTCTTTTGGTGCATGTTTATGTGCTGAGGAAAGTCTGATACCTGACTATATGTGTATATGAATAAGAAAATAAGACAGTAGTTTTTTTTTTCAAAATAATAAAATATTGCAAATCTTACAAAAGAAAACAAAAAACGTAAAAAGACAAACCACTTAATAGCATGAAGTAAATACAGTGTACAGTATAGACTACTTTCAAAATATGTTCATTAATTTAAGTGGGTTTTTTTTACGATTCATGTAAAAAATATCTTGAAATAAGCTGTAATTTTAGGCTTCTATTTGTAAATTTTATTTTATGAATAAAATATTGACTAAGAAGAATGAAATCTCAGATTTGAGTGAACCCCAGATCAGACCAGTGATGTTTTAAAGCTGCAGTGCTGAGGCCTGCTGTCTGTTTTGAGTAGACGGAGAGAGAGAGGAAGGAATATGGCGGCTGCGAGCGAGCCGAAGCGGGACGCCGGCCTTTCGCTTTGAGCTTTCTTGCGCTAACAGAGGCCGTGGCTCTCCGCGGGACCGCTGCATCCGCGTCTCGGCGAGCTTAGCTTTCCGGCGGTGCCCGAAATTCCGACTTTTCTGCGCTCGGAGTCCGCGCAACGAACTCGAAAAGAATAGATTTGGTGTATGGACATATGATGAGGGGGAGAAGAGGCAGGCCGCCCAAAACCGTGTTGATGCAGGAGCCCTCTTCGGGGCCGGTGCGAGGGCTCAGACCCCGCCGAGCGCTTAAGGTAAAGGCGAGAGGGGGAGCGGACGAAGATTTCGTGACTCCCGCTAAGCGGGGGAATCACCATTCGTCGCGGGGCCGGAGGAAAGCGGGGTCGGCGGGATCGAGGGGCAGAGGCAGGGGTAGAGGAGCTGCTGTAAGAGGCAGAGGGAGACGGAGCGCCGCCAGCGCCGTGGTCTACGACGACCACGAGAGCGACGAGGAGGACGACGCCGAGAGCTTGGCGTCTGAGGAGGACGAGGAGGTTGAAGAGGACCCCATAACGGACGAGGAGGAAGAGGTCATCGACAACGAGTCGGACTACCTCGAAGAACTGCCCGAGGATGAGGAGGATGATGCGAGCTACTGTACGGAGAGCAGCCACGGCAGCACCCCGGGTAACAACAAGAGGGCTGCTAACAGCGGACTGAGTCCGCCATTCATATTCATATGCTTTTTCTGTGCATGTCGTGGACCCCACACCGAGCACTGCAGTCGCATCAGGCCACCTTTCATTAATATTCTTTTGGAGAAAATCGTCTTTGACACAGTGCGGGGCTGTAACACTCAAAATGGAGTATGAGCTGCTAGCTAACTAAAGACAGGCCCAACTTTTAGCATACAAGCTACCTTGCCTGCTAACGCGAAGCGTCTCTGTTGTGGTGGCTAACCTGCGCAACAACAGAAATACCTGGGCGTTTCTTACCGCAGCCTTATTTTCAAACTACCCCCATGTAATAAACTAGAAACGAGCAGTAACGTTAGCTGGTTAGCAAAGTATATTCAGCCTGTTGGATTCGCTCCTCTGAGAAATGAACTCAGCTTTCCGGCTAACGTTAGCATGCTAACTAGCAAATTAAACTGTAAATTACTAACTAGCTGCACTTTTGCGCTAAAGAGTGCTGCCTACACCTGCACGTCTGGGGAAACATCATCTCTTTTTGAGCTAAAAGTTAATTATGTGCAAGTAAATGTAGTCAGTGATAAGGCTAACGTTAGCTGGCTAGCTAAGGTTAGCGAAAGCTCGTAATGTGGGCTCATAATGAAGTCTAAAAAGTTCGCCTCCGAGTTAGCCGGCCGGTTTGCTAGCTGTTTGTGTGTTGAGATAACAATAACACCGTCTGTTGCTTATCCGGATAATTTCTAAAACAAGCCTTTAATATCATGTATTCTCAACCCTTTCCTTTACTTGAGTCAGTTTTACCTCATGAAAAACTCAGAGCTTCACATTATGTGTATGAGGGTTTGAGAGAAGGTGTGTAGCTTAGTTAGCACCCACCCATGTTGCTAGCGCTTTTTCATTAGCTGAGTAGCTACCGACTCAGGCAGCAGGTTGAAGATCTAATGACAGAACCGCATGCGGCGGAGTGTTTTGAAAACGGGCGCCAGTGGTGTTTCACCTGATGCACGGGGGGAGATTCATATCGAAGGACTGCCAACATCGGACTGATCCTGTGAAAACTTAATATTCACTGACGAATTACATACCAATATGATGGTTCAAACCCTGTTGATATGTGGGCATTTTTGTGTTTTTGTACTTATTTACATAAATTGGTAACGCTTTATTGTGTGAGTTTCCTGTAGCTGATTTGTAGATGCTCACCTTGTCTAACATCCAGACAAACTTCTGAAAAAAAATTATTCCAAAATGCTGTATATCCATTTGTAACAAGAGGGGGGTTAAAAATAATAGCTCACTTATAATACACTTTGTCAAAAAAATGTCTAGTGAAGTCGATATTAATCAATATATAACTTCATAATATTTTTCGTGTATGTGTAAATCACACTCTCTAATGTGTCATAAAGAAAAGTCATGAAAGTGACATTCAGTGCATTTTTGAAACAAAAAAACATCAGCTAAATGTAACTGAGCGTTAAGTTGAAATAGAAAAGATTCTACTAAATCTCACCTTAAACCTAACCATAACTTGAACCCAAATCTAATCCTAAACATAACCCTAGATAATCTATATGGGACTTTCAAAATAAAGTATGGCCCAACATTTTGTAAGGTTGAGGTGCGCACAGTTGCAGTAGTTACTCTGAAGTTAGACGGATTACATAATGCTTTGGCTTTATGAAATACACTGAATCAAACGGTACAAATGCTTATGATTTTATAAATTGAAAGTTACTGTGATGTAAGGAATTATGTAGTGCATGACGTCTGCATATTTACACATGTTCATATTAAACTTTAGTTGAGTCTTACCTATAGGTCCAGCATATTTTAGTGTTTGCTGTGATCTAACGTAGCTGATCCAACCAATTAGCTGTTTAACAAGCTCTTCCTGAGTTGAATTGGGTAAGTTAGAGTGGGAAAACATTACAAAAAGCAGGATGTGATCAGGAACCACCGGTTATTAATCTGCACAGAAATAAACATTTAGGTTTAAAGGGTATGCAGAATCTTTTGGATATGCCACTGCCTTGGTTGCTTACTCTCTGCATATTTGTTGTTTTCATAGGCCGGAGGAGACGGAGAGCCCGTCGGCCACGCTCTCCCATCCTGGAGCAGAAAGAGATCCCTGCACTGGAGCTGCCCACCTCCTCTGAAGACCTCCTCATTCCTGCCGAGCATCTGCTCAACGCCTCATCCATTTACGAGGTCTTGCGCAACTTCAGCACGGTTCTGCGTCTTTCACCCTTCCGTTTCGAGGACTTCTGCGCAGCCCTGGTAAGTCAGGAGCAGTGCACACTGATGGCTGAGACGCATATCGCCCTGCTGAAGGCCATCCTGCGTGAGGAGGACACGTCCAACACCACCTTCGGCCCGGCTGACCTCAAAGACAGCGTCAACTCCACACTCTACTTCATTGATGGCATGACCTGGCCGGAGGTAGTGCGGTCTTACTGCGAGAGTGACCCTGAGTACCGGGACGTCCTGCCGCACCTGGAGGGTGAGGACTACCCCTTCGGGCCGCTGGAGAGCAAGGTGAAGGTCCTTCAGTTCCTGGTGGACCAGTTTTTGACCACAAACCTAGCGCGCGAGGAGCTGATGTCGGAGGGCGTGGTTCAGTACGACGATCACTGCCGCGTGTGCCACCGGCTCGGTGACCTGCTGTGCTGTGAGACCTGCTCGGCCGTGTACCACCTGGAGTGCGTGAAGCCTCCTCTGGAGGAGGTGCCCGAGGATGAGTGGCAGTGCGAGGTGTGCGTGGCGCACAAAGTGCCTGGTGTCACCGACTGCGTGATGGAGGTTCAGAAGAGCCGACCATACCTCCGCCAAGAGCCAATCGGATACGACCGCCACCAGAGGAAGTACTGGTTCCTGAACCGGAGAATCATTGTGTGAGTTTTTGTTCATATTCACTTTTTTAACCCAGTTTTTATGGCCAATCAGGTGGTCCATGTGAATTTTTATTTCATATTCACTTTTCCAACCCAGTTTTTGTGGCCAACTAGATGGTCTCTGTTTTTGCTCTACCAGAAATTCAGTGCACAGATAGAAATATTAGTGTTTAAGTCAACAGAGGGCGCATTGCTGAAGCCACCTCTCTAGCAGCAAATACTCCCTGCAATTAAGTGCTCCCCATGGACACATGTTGACTTTTGCCCATCTTTCAAATCTTTTTCTGAAGATTAGCTTGCTGAAGAAAACATTTGTTTTTTTTTGTTAATTTCATGCATTTTGTTCTTTTGAAAAGCCGTTGATTATCTGATTATGCTACAGTATTGCTAATTTATGCTACAGCCTCTATTGGAGATGCATGTTATGTTTGCGCCAAGCCATCAATGGTGTTCTTTCACTTTCTTTAGGAGTTTGGTATAGACACTGAAACTTTAAGTATTGATCAGTATTGGTGCTGATCCAGTTTTTTGTACCATGTCCCTGTGTGCTAGTTCAGGCTAGATTTGTTGCAGGTTGGGCTAGATTGCCCCCCCCCCTCCATCAGTACCAGTTTGCCATCTCTGTTTAATACGGCTCATGGTAGCTTTTACCTAAATAGTAATATCTGAAGATAAGCTAGAAAGAAGCTCTGAAAAAGGTTTTATTACAGTGAACACAGTTAACACAGTGTTGCAAGTAACTGTGACAGCTCTATTACAGTTTTCTTACTGGTGTGATTCAGATGTGTCGGGAGCTGAGAAAATAAATATGAGCCATCTCAGGGTTCTTGGGGATTGAGTTCAGAACCATTGCAGACATAGGTGGGTAAAGGTCTGCTATACGGCTTCCACACAGGGATGTGAAACTAGTCCAAGGCTGAGCACAGCAGTGTTTTATCTTGTTTTTACACACCTAACTCATCTAACTTTTTAGGCTTTCATAAGTTGAATCAGATGTTAGAGCAGAGAAACACTTCATGTTACTGTGATCTTCTGCTGTTTCGGCTGCTTGACTCTCCAGTTATCTTCTATTCTTTAGACAAACAAAGAGAAGTAATTTGCATCTTTGCCCAATTTATTAAGAAATGCTGAGTTTACTTCTGAATGCTATGTGGATACTGGGCCTCTCCTCCAAGAGAATCTACTGATTGTGTGCAATATAATGGCAAAGCAATGTGCTTACCCTTGTTTAACTAGGATTGATATTTAGTATTAATCTGCTTTAATGTAGTCAGTATAATAAGGGGGAAAGCTACTGATACTGCAGTTCTTCTCAAGTTGAAATGCTTCAGATTGAGCTGGTACTTGCTCTGGTGTTGGTATGGCGTTTCCTAGCGCTTAGTAGACTGGGTTTGGTTCCCTGTCTGGGCAAGATTACTGTGCTATGTGATTGAGTCCTTGGACAAGCCCCCTAACTGTACACTGTGTCTACCTTTGTAACATGATGAAAATTCTAAGTTGCTCTGGATAAGAATATCTGCCACTAATAATACCAGAAATGTATATGTCTCACACAAGCAAGAGGATCTTCACTTTTTTATGCTTTTATGTGGTAGAAGGGGAGAACTGAGAGAGCGTGAAAGTTAAACCTGTAGTGTGGATTATTCTAGTTGTCTTTAGTCTCCTGTTCAATCTAGACATACTCGACCAAGTACCTGGGTACTTTACACAAGGAAAAAGTAGGGATTACATAGTAGTTGTGCATTCAGATTGGTGCTAGAGCTGCCAAAGAAATGTGTGTCAAATGCTTGATTAATGTCATGTTTTTTTTTTTAACCCCAAAACTAGAAGTTATTGACACAAACTGGAGTGTTTGGTTTTGAATCTGGTCTGAGGAGGTTTTCTGTTTTCTACCAGCATCACTCCATCTGTTTTGTGTTTAGGTGTTGCAGGCCCAGTGTGATTAAATAGTGAATTTGTCCTTGACACTTGAGAATATTTCAGTGAAGGATCCATCTCTGCTCCCCTTCTCTGAAAAGGATACCAGGATAAATTTGCATTAAAGGGAAATTCACCTGATTTTTCAAAGTTTCTGCATAATTTAAAAGTTGAGATGTGAATTCACTCAGTGTTAGTGGGAACCAGGGGTTGCGATGTCTACAACACAGATATAACCATTTAATTAATTATTTACCATTTAAAATTACCAGTTAACCTTTTTAATATGTAATGTTGATAATGGTAAAAAAAAAGTGATGAATCTTTAAACGGTTCTGGGTTTGTTTGTTTTTTTGTTTGTTTTTTGGGGAGGGGGTGTAATTTTTCCTTAATTCACTTCTTATGCACATTGTTTTATGATAGTTATAAAATAATGTCTTGGAGATCAAGAAATGTCTTCTGAATCATTACATATAGTAACTTTGTAAGGCAGCTTTTTTAGAGGTGGTAAATGCTTCAGATGTCTGGTTACTATCACCACCACTGTGAGTAAATTTCTTTAAAAGGCTGCATTTCACATCAAACCACCCAAACCACTTTGTACTTAATTATTAAGTTATACAACAATTTTGAAAAATCATTTGAATTCCTCTTTAAGACTTTGTAAGACATGTTCAGTGTATCTTTTGTCCCAAAATTCAAACCCCATGTATTGAGAGATCCAGTTGAAGCAGATGAAAGGAAACCACTTCTGAATGCTTTCTCTCATTCCATCTGTACAAAAGACTTTTGCTCAGCTTCTTGTCAAACTAAAGGCACAATCAATATTATGTAACAGATTCTTTAGGCATTGTTTTTTAGCATCTAATGGCCTATTTGATATATATAGGCAAAATACAACAAGGGTCACCATGGGTGCTTTGAATGTAAATACATCTGTTCTATGTCTGCAGAAATAGAGATTCTGACAGTGTGTCTGGTTGTGTTTCAGTGAGGAGGACGGCGAGGCAGAGGTGGGGAAGAAGATCTGGTACTACAGCTCTAAAGTGCAGCTGGGGGAGCTAATGGAGCTGCTGGATAAAGAGTTCTGGGAGAATGATCTGTGTGCTGTTCTGGAGGAGCTGAGGGAGGAGATCCACGCTCACATGGACATCACTGAGGAGCTCACAAACAAGGCCCGCGGCAACAACAAGGCCTACCTCACCGTCGTCAACGGTAAGAAACATGTTGAATCCTAAACAATTGCACACGTTTGTTTCTGTTACGTCTGTGTCGGACAAGCACGACAACACTTTGCTTGTTGTTTAAGCTTTTCAAACCAGGAGTGTGGATGTCCTCTCCTTTAAATTTCAAGTGCTTACTTGAAGTCTGTACACCATGGATGGCAGCACTTCTATTAGAGGGGAGTTTCACCAATTTTTAAAAATTTCTGCATAATTCAATAGTTAAGATATAAACAGTCATTTAGAGTGGTTTAACAAGAAAATGCACCATTCTGCAGAAATTACATAAAGTAGTGACAAATATGTTGCCGTAGGCCTGAGAGATTTCTTTATGATAGTTTTAACATAAGGTTTTGGCATGACATGTTTTAAAAAATACATTTATGACAGAGAGAGAAAAGTACACTAGACTGTTCCCCATGGAAATCTTAATTGTTTTTGATTTAGGGCTGTATACCTTTATCAACATGTCAAAACTCAGGCGATAAGTGTAGGTTCACTGTGTGTTTTTATTTACTTATTTATTTATTTTTACTTACTATTTTTATTTTTTGTAAATAAAAAGGCAATATTTGTGTTGTGGACATCATGACCCCCGGTTCATATCGCCCTTGTGAAGTAATCGGAATCAGTAATTTTCTTGACACTGCGCCATTTCACATTAACCATTCCATATGGACCCGTTTACATCTCTAAGATTTTTATCAATTTTTTATTAATGATGCAGTTATACGATTTTTTTAAAGTCACGTTAAGCAGTTTTTTCCTCATGCGTTTCTTGGCTTGTTAAGTGGTTTCTTTATTTTTCTCATGTTCCACTCCTTGGGTTAATTATTGTTATTATTCTTTTTTTCCCATATGATTTCAGTTAGCAACTGCTATATAACTGGGTTTGTCCAGTTCTTTTGGTTCTCTCGGTGCAGGCAGTAATAGCCCACAGGGGGCACTGTTGGAGTCCTTTTAACAAATATGTCAACCTAAGTAAGCTCAGCTTGCATCAATTGCCATGGATTTGATTTAGGAAACAAGTCTTTTGTTACAAACACCCAGAAGGGCTGTTTCTGTGCAGACGGGCTGAAGAGGCTGAGATGAATGAGAGGCTGAGGGTGGGAGTGTTTTAATTGGTGTAAAGAAAGTGTGGTTGAATTTTGTGTCTTCAGGAATAAAGATTAGAATCACACCTGTGAAACTGTGTGTGTGTGTGTGTGTGTGTGTGTGTGTGTGTGTGTGTGTGCGCACATGTTTCCTGAGGGTGAAATGTCAGCAGATAACAGCTCTACAGTTTCATGTTGCTGCAGTGTGAGTGATTCAGAATGACAGGAGTGCACAGTGATGAGAAAAGAGAGAGGACTAGCATGCATATGAGCGCTCTTTCTCTCTCTCTCTCGCTCTTTCTCGCTCTCTCACTCGCTCTCGCACTCTCGCTCTCTATTCTCCTTGTTTCTTTGCTTTTCTCTTTCTTTCTTTCTTTCTTTCTTTCTTTCTTTCTTTCTTTTTCTCTCTTTTTAATCTCTCTTTCATACTTTTCCCCCTTTTCTCCTTTCCTTTGGCTCTCTTGCTGTCTTTCTCTTTCTTATACTCTCTCTCTCTCTTTCTCACTCTCTTTCCTTGTCTTTCATTTGTGTCCTTTCTCTGTCTCATTCTCTTTTTATTTCATCTCTGTCTGTCTCGCTCGCTCTTGCTGTTTCTTTCCTTCTCTTTGTCTCACTCTCGCCTTCTGTTTCTTCTTCTCTCACTTGCTCTCCTTATTTCTTTCTCTCTCTTTCACTCTTGCATGCTGATTCGCTGTCTCTCTCTCTCTCTCTCTCTCTCTCTCTCAGACAGAGTGCTGTCCTGAATGTGAGAAGTGCTTGTGTTGTATAGGTTTGATTTATTACTCTCTATTGCAGCATTCATTATACAGTCAGGTTCAGGAAAGGCTTGTTAAAAATAATAAACGTTCCTACTCCTGCAGTTTTCCGAGCAATTATTCTTCTCTTTTATTATTCTGCACTGTTCTAGCACACATTTATGATCACACTCTTGGAAATAGCTTGGCTCCATTAAACAGTTTTAATGCTTTCAGTGGAGGAATACCGGGTTCTCTGTTTTGCTCTGTTGTGAGTGTGAATCCTTTATCATGTCAGCTGTAGGGACGCTTATCTCCTCAGAAACTCCGCGTTTTAGCTCTGTACCCTTTGCGCTGTCCCTTACGTTCCTGCAGTAGGCGGACAATATGATAACCAATGGTCTGCAGTTCATGAACTGCGTGTTTTTTGTTTTTTGTTTTTCCCCCCATAACTGCAGCTTTGAAACATGCATGGCACAGATCGTCTGTTCGTGTGAAAATCAGTTCGGTATCGTTCATAGCAGGTTTCACTTTTGCTAATGCCCAGTGATTTTGAAAGAGTAATAATTTCAGGCTGTTATCACCAGCGTTGGAATTCACCTTCTGCTGTTTTCACAGCTAGATTAGCCTCTAACTGTCATATTCAAAGCACAAAATGATAGTAAATCCGCTACCAGTGCAGGGTGCGCTCCTGCAGGTGTATTTCCCCAAAGCTATTTTTAGAGGTGGAGGAGCATGAAAGGCACTTGGTGTGTGTAGGAGTGAAAAGCTGAGATGCTACATCAAAAAGCTACATCATGATAGTGTTTATCATAATTTTGTGTTTAAGTGTGTAGAAGTTTTCTCTCTGTTCTTTAGAAAACCTTGTTTTTGTTGTTGATCTGTGACCTGTGTTTGTTTGGATTAGGCTATACACATTTGCATTGTACGTTTTTTTAAAATGATTTACTTATTGTGATTGTTTTTTTTAGCTTTTAGAAGTTGGAGTTATCACCAGTTATCACAAAAACATGTTATTATTAAAAAAAAAAAATTATAATTAAAAAAATAAATAAATACTATTTATCATCCGTAGCTAAAATGAATAATTTTCATATCAAAATCATACTTGGAGAGCATTTTTTAAAATCACAAGAACTGCTGTTTTTATTATAGCTTACATTATTAACAGTGAGTTTTCAGTGGGCTAGTTTTACCCTAATAACATAGAGCTTGTAGATGAATTAGACCAATCGGAAACTCCATTACAAATTACCAAACTGTTTTGTGTAAGTGATAAACTGGCAGTCTGGAACAATTTCTTCAGCATTCAGGCCTTAAGTCAGAAAAAGTGGATTTGCTGGTCTTCGTGACAAAAAACATGCCCTAACCTTAATTTATAAAAAATATTTTTTTTAATTCCCAGTTGCACTGGAATGAAAAATCACAAATCAATCGATATTTTGGTGTTCATAGAGAGAAGTGGTTGTTAAGTATGTTAGTTATTGTTGTGTTCAGTCTTGTTTTCCATAAAAGAAACACGCTTCATGTTGTTGCCATGTTTTTTGTTTTTTTTGTTTTTTTTCTTGTCAAAACTTGATGATGAATGGGGCGAAAAACAACATTTAATTAGCATTGCAAAACTACAGTGGTCATTTTTTTTTCTTTTTTGTTGTTTACTTATAACTCTGAGCCATATTAGAGCAGATATGTGTGAAGATGCATGTGAGCTCATAACCGAATAAATTAACTGCTCAGAAATTATTAGCAGAACTGAACAAAATTGAGCTACCAACAAATATGCTATCATAAGTAGACCTTAATAGAATATGGTGCAGTTCTGCACTATTACAGAAACAAAATACTTTTGAGGGGCTGTGAGCAAAGCCATAACATCAGATAGAGGACAAATAATGCCTAGTGGAGACTGCGTGATTTTCGGAGTCTCATAATCTCTACACGACATTTATTCCTCGCGACCTGTTGTTTGTCGACATATCGAAGTACACACTACACTAGCAATCACAGATGAGGCTCACACTCTGCACACACTTTTACCCACAGAGATCCATAACAAAGTGTGCCTTGTCTCCCATTGTCTCTCAGACATAAACGAGAGATGTGTTTATCTCATGCTAAACTGGTGTTGGAGAAGCTTGCTGTGGTTGTTTCTGCACCAATTTGTGCAGGAAAAACAAGAAAGAGGAGGAGAGAAAGTTTAAGCAGAATTCATGCTTTTTCCAAAGCCTTCCAGCCTTCCACTGTTTTTTGGGTACACGCAGAGCATGAGTGGCCATTGCCAGAGCGGAGGACAAAGCTGCGGCAGATTTTAACTCTGAGGCGGCTCTAAATCTAACCGTTGAGCTGCAGCCTTGCGTCAGTATTCGCATATTTTCTCCATGTTTGTTATTGTTTGGGTTGTTCATGCCTCTATTCAGGATTTTTCCTGTCCTTTAGTTACTGCTCATTGCTGCTCCTGCTACTTGTTGTATAGGTGCTCACCCTACACAATTCATGGTAGAGAGTTTATTTTGTTTTCAGGGAAAACTGAATCATGATTTTTCTTACTAATATTGTGACTTGGTAGATTGTGATTTTATTTTCTGTAAATTAAGTTCCATTTTAAGTGGCATGATTTTTATGGCCAAGTAGTTCAGTGTATTTACTTTTTATGACCAGACTGCCAAATAGACAGTGTTATTAAGTTACATTTCCCCACTTTCCAAAGATGACATTGTGGATAATGTCGGCTATAATAAAAAATTCACCTTTTTAAATTGCAATTCCGATATAAGAAAAAATTAGTTTTGGTGTGCGCAGCAATTTGTAGCCAAGCTAGGTGGCTTATTGTTGATCGCAAAAAATATTGTCTGCAATTAGAAAATTGCGGATAAAATTGTGTAGTTTGAACTTGAGTTAAACGGCAATGGTAACAGTAACACGATATCCGCCGGCTCCTCTTAATACCTTTGTGTGTTAATGTTGATGAAAACCTGTCAGATAAAATACTGCAGTGATGTCTGTGAATAATAAGGAGACAGAACTGAACATGTGGCAAGGGACTGACTGCCAGATCACATTCATGCTATTTGAAAAAGGAGCTTAGATTCTCTATCATGGTCTTGCCCCCACTCTGATGTATCTCCACTATGTCTTAGCAACCTATATGTCTGCAGGTGTGTGATGTAAGGCGTCAGTACTGCTGTGAGCAATCGAGGAGCAAAATATTATGTGAACAGTGTCTTACTCAGTTTGTTGGTCTGTCACAGGTAGACGATGCATATCTGTGCTTTGTTTGTTCCCATTATGAAGTGAGACGAAATGTGTTTCCAGATGAGATCTTGGACCGGCTGAAGGCCCGGCAGGAGGCAGAGCTTGATGAGGTGAAACGGCGTACAGATGAGAAGGCCAGGCAGGGGTTAAAGGTTGGTGAGGGTGATAATGCGGTCTCATCTGCTGCTGATGGCTCTACTCCACAACAAGATTCAGGAGATGGGAATGCAGTGAGCGAGAAGACTGCGGCTGATGGTAAGAATTGTTTGTCAGTTCTGACAAATATAATAAGAATGTGAAATACACATCATGACACATACGAGAATTGTGAAAGCTCCAAAAAGTAAAGAATAATGTTAGGTCCATGTTACAATGATGTACAAAGCTAGCTCACAGAAAGTTGGCACAGTAGGTAAAATGCAAATAAAAACAGCAAAGCAATGATTGCAAAGTCACTTTGACCTGTATTTAAATGAAAACAGTACAAAGGCAAAGCAGTTTTTGTTGTCAATTTCATGATTTTTTTTTTTGGTAAATATATTCTGAAATTGATGCCTGCAAAACATTCCAGTTGGGACCAGGTAGTTTAAGAATAGAAAGATGTTCCCCAACAAGCACCTAGGAATTTCACCTTCTGGAGTAGAGCTGAGCGAGATGGCCAAAAATGTTATCATGATAAACAAATTTCATATCCGTCGATATCGATACATATTGTGATAAATGTCAAATCATTATTTCTTTCAGATTCTTGCTCCTGAGTGGTTTATTGCTATCCTTTGTGGTCAGAACATGACAAACACTTGCCAAACAGTGGAACAATTCACAAATCTGTCATAGGATAATGGGATAAAGTTTCTTGTTGGCTGCACGGCTGCAATTTTTGTAATAGTCATAATTTAGGAAAGAAAATGGCTGTCCGGGTTCAAGTGCAAAACTGTGTGTGTGTGTGTGTGTGTGTGTGTGTATATATATATATATATATATATATATATATATATATATATATATATAACTTGACCATTTTGAAAAATGCACCAACAAAACAGCAGGGCCACAATTTTATTAATGTGTCGTATTGTTCATGTACACATGATAAATAAATAACTAAATAAAGGCTTGAATATGTGCATGTCATATTGCAGAGGACGTCTCCTCTACATTGTAGTAATGACTCAAAGATTCCAATAGAGACTCATCCGTAAGTTGGTCTGCAAGATGAGCGGGAATGAATGTTTGTTTGTGTTGTGCCTGTTTCATAGCCGCAACTCCTCCTGCTGCTGAGGACAGTAGCATCAGCGTGTCTGGGCGCCCTCAGGCTGACCCGCTTAACCCGTCTAAAATCGACCCCCAAAGCCCTCCAGCAGGCGCTGCCACCCCTGCCTCCTCCACTGCAGCTGCAGAAGAACCTGGGGAAGGGGCTGAGGTGGAGAGGGAACGGGCAGGTACAGAGGAAAGATGTCTTTTCTCTCGCATAAGAACTTAATTGTGCTTTTGCTGTTGCTTGTCCATCTTTTGTCAAGCTCATCTTGTGTTCATCTGTCTTGACTCTTGAGCTTGTGGAGTGTTGCTGTGCTTGTTCTGGCTTTCCTTAATCCAAGTGCATTCATCTTTATTTGTTCCTTTATTCTTTTCAGAATATTCAGCTTCTCTTGTTTCATTTTGCATCTTGTCCTACTTGTCGCATGTTAGAGCCACGCTTCATTCATGTTCATCAGTGCTATTGCTTTTGATTATGAGGTAAATTGTCATTGTCGAAACCACCAGCAGGCTTCCACATTTTTCCATCTTTTGGCTCTCGTTTTTGCGTTTTTCATAAGCAACAGACAGTATGAAGTAATGAATATATGCAGAATGCTGAGCTGCAGTCGGGCAATCTGAACGTGAAGATTCAGTGATCTTTTTTGAATTGTTAGAGTGAATGTGACTAGAGAAGAACTAATCATGAGTTTTTGTAGCCAAAATAATCTAAAGCTCACACTGCGTGGGGTAAATGATCACGTTACGACCCTGTTTACACCTGGTCACTTCATGTGACAAGTATCTGGATTGTATACTGATAAGATTTTAGCCACATGCATTTACACTTTGCAGTCAAACGCATCTCTGATTAGTTGGACTGAAATTTGATTTCTTTGTGAAATGCAATATGCAGACCTGCTCATTACACGGCAACCAATTACCAATTGTTTATCTGTTCAGCTTCTTCCTGTTTTGCACATTTCTGTCCATCCATATTACTGTTGAGCATTTTGTTTTGTCCGGTTTCCAGCCATATGTATCTTCCTTGCAGTCAGTGGTCATGTGCCCAGCGATGTACTGAATGGGGAGGGTTTCGATTATCAAATGTGTCAGGGAGAGACGGATACGTTTACACTGTTATAACATTATAACGTGGCTCAACTGCGTCTCACACCACCTCCTGAAGTGGTTTGAGCGATCGGATTTGTATCTGCGTCTTGGGTGTGTTATACCTTTGCATTTGTTATGTGGCTTGGACTCATCTAGATGTAATCCTGATACTCCAGATGCATGAAGTGACCAGGTGTCTAGCACAGTATCTGTACTTTGTATTAGCCAAACTTGCAATGCAAACATTCCTTGATCTTTAATGAGTCAAACTGGCATAAGTAACATGGATAAAAAAAAAAAAAGTGCAACATTGAAAGTAAATGGCAACTAAGTGTTTAGCATAATGAGACAACATTTTAATATCAGTGTAGGAGCAACATTCAAATACAGTGTCAGTGCCTCACGATTTTTACCACACAAATTACTGCACACGTGCTGAAATAAACCCAGTACATTGGCTGATTGCCCGTTTCACATTTTGAGCAAAAATCTGCTGATTCCGGTCTTGGCCGATTCCATTTGCATCCCTAATTGTGACCAGTTATAATTAATATTCAGTCAGAGTGTGCTCTCATTTTGCCAGCTCTCATAAAATCAGTCTTTGTGTATTGTTTTATGGTATATTCTTCTACTTTTGTAAATAGTTTCTGGAGTCCAGTTTTGGTATGTTTTATAAAAAAACCTGAATTGAATGGTGAAATTTGCGGCTGAGGCACTGAAATATTCCTAAAGAGTAGTAACGCTAAGGTCAGAGATTTATACCTCATATTTAAGATTGTGGGTTCTGCTTGTTTTCCACTCTTTGGCTTGCTTGACCCTCCATCTCCACTTCATTTGCTTGGTACAGTGAACTCTGGCTGCTTGCATTGCTCAATACAACGTGGAGTTTGGCACTCTGAGCACTTTCAGGCCGTTCCTAGCATCCCTGCTGCACTGGCCCTCTGCCTCCAGCCAGGCTGACAGCAGGGTTCCAGTCCTGTGAGAAAACAAAGCATTTCTGGCACAGGAGCGAGTCAGCTCCTCCCCGCTACCTCTGTTCCACAATACCGCCATAGAAAAGTGCACTGGCCTCATGCCATCCTCAGCCTGTGCTTCAGCCGAGGCCTGCTGGCATCTCTTTCTCTACTGCAAGAGCATAGCTTGGGCTGTGCTTGTCTGTTTAGTGCAGATCATGCCGAGATTGTTCCTTTGGCAGCTGACTTTGTAGTTTTTGCATACATCCTCTTTCATGCATCTTGTGTCATTTGTGTTGGTTATGATCAGTAACTAAAGGTGCACTTCATCCAAAACGTGCAGCCAATGATAAATGCAAGCTTGCCTCATGTGCACTTGCTCAGTCGAGACATTTTTGCTGCCTGAAGCTTGTTCATGTAGTTTTGCACTGGGGCTATGAGGCTAATGTATCTAACAAGTAATGGATCTTATACCTCACCAGTTAGCGATGTGCAAACTGCATGCCTAAATCATTACACGCTTGCCTCAAACTGTTATTATGTAATGTCAGAGACTTGTTTATGTGGTTTCTGACACTGTGTGACATGCTGGTATTGATAAAAATGGACAAAAGTATGTCACATAGTATAAATAAATAAAAAATAGTAAAAGCAGTGTTTCCAAATCTGAATGCTATCAGATTTTATACGTAACGATTTGTCATACAATAACTGCAGAAACCACATTAGATTACTGAACTACGCAAATAATTGCTAAACAACTCAATATGGATTAAGGCAGTTGTATAATGAGTTAGGTATTCAGTTTGCTCGGTGTTGGTGATCTAGCAGAGTTCATTATTTTATAGCTACATTAGGGTTGAATCTAAAAAAAGCTAAGTTTAGAAACCAAACAAACTGGCTGCTGCATTTTTTTGCGTTTTTAATGTGAGAAGGTGAAAACTGTAAATTTGATTTTTCTCTCAACCATCAGTTTAACTGGTCTCTATACTGCTGGCTCAGATTAAATACATTATTGTTAAAATATTAGGGTTGCATTTAAGTGGAGTATTACTTAAACAGAAATATTTGATGTTGATCAGGAAGTGGAATGTTCTCTGTTCTAGATAAAAGCTCAGAGTCAGGTTGTCAAGGTGATGGGGAGCCTGTCCTGGAAACTGAACCTCCACAGACTGCTGATGAAAACAGCTGCAGCAGTCACTTCTCTATCTCTGACTGCCTGAGGCCCCCAGAGGAGCCAGACCTGGCTGACCGCTCTTCACAATCTTCCATCAACAGCCAGGACGATGCAGGTATATGCAGTAACACACAGATCTAACATGCATGCTATGCACAGTCAGTTATATCCTGCCTGCCATATTTCTCATGCTTGCAGTGCCTGCCAGAAGTTTGGGACATCTGGCTTTTCAAAAGGGGTTTTGAAAATGAGCATGTTTTCTGGGTCGTTTTACAGTAGTTTAACATATTAACTAGAAACCTGTTTAGATTCTGCAGTTTTTCTTTTCAAAAACTGTGAACCTGAGCAAGCAGTTCAACATCAATGATTGCCTTATTATCCAGGGCAGGTAAAGTCAGGACAACGGTATTGAAAATCACTTGACCACTTAGGCAAACTGACGTTCAGCCTTAGGATGCTTTCGACAGTGCACTTTGTACTTGATATTGCCTTTATTGGCTTGGAAACACCCTCCTTGCTGCAGAAATTATATGTTAAGTGTCGCAAATTGCGTAGTTGGTAATTGTCTATAGCACGAATAGTCATTCGAAATGTCATAAGTGTAACAATTTGACAAAGAGAGTACACCCTTGTTAATAAAAAAAACAGACAAAAAAGTTGATTATTTTTGACCCATGCATTAATAGTGTTGCAGTCACATTGTTTCATTTACAAGTCATGTTGATTTGAAGCTGTGTAAGTTGACTGGTATGTATGTGGCAGGTGAGGGTAAAGGAAATGGAGAAGGTACGAGGACAGGGTCGTCTATGCGCATGGTGACACGTCTGCGCAATCCTGACAGCAAACTGAGCCAGCGCAAGATCATGCAGGACAAGGATGGTAGCTCGCAGGATGGCAGCAAAGCACTTAAAGAGGTGAGGGTTCTTTCTTCTTAAAAGCTTTTTTTTTTCCCCCTTGGCTTAGAAAGGTAGTGCGGTGTGCTTCACTCAAAACCGAGAACTGAGCTGTTAAGGTGCTGAAGAATTTTCATGTATTATATAAAATTATAAATAATGTGTACATATAAATATGTACTTTACACAAGATGTTGGAACATTTGTTAGGAGGATTTGGTTGCATTCAGCCACAAGAGCGTTGGTGAGGTCAGGTGCTAATGTTGGATGTTTAGTTCTAAATCACAAACATCACTCCAACTTAGAGCTGGGCGATATGGCCAAAAATGTTATCACGATAAACAAAGTTCATATCGTTCGATATCGATACATACTGCGATAAATGTCAAATCATTATTTCTTTCAAGTTTGAAGGCTGATTTTTGGTCCTGGGGGGTTAATTCCTGTTTTAAACTATTCTTTATGGTGGGAACACGACAAACACTCAAACAGTGGAATATTTCACTAATCTGTCATGGAAGAGTGGGAGAAAGTGTCTGGTGAGCTGTTTTTACCAGCTGGAAAAGCATGGCTATTTTGTAATAGTCATGATTTAAGAAAGAAAACAGATTATTTTTAGCTGTCTGGTGACGAGCGCTCGGCTACCCCGTTACAAATGACATCACAGTATTCAGACACCAGCTAGCGACGACTGAATTTCTCTATACTATCGTAGTAGTTTGAGGGGTGAACTGCAAAATATCAACACCAGACAAACAGAGTTCTCCTTTTAGGTACGTTTAAACTTGAAAGCGGTGCTTTTGTGTCTTGTTTGATCTACAGTATCATCAATTCTCCGTGTTGTGGAGTGACGGAGCGCTGCTTCAAGTTAGCCAGCTGCTAAAAACAGCTAGCCTGGAAAGCTAGCGCTCTCCTGCTCTCCACTGCCTCACAGCTTCCTCAGTTTACTTTCGTTTAAATCAGCGCTGTAATTTAGATGAACCCACCTCTTTCTTTCACTTCCGTTGCTTGGCAATGCACTAATACTTAAATATGACTGTCCGAGCGCTGCAACAGCGCTGTAGTTGTGAGGATTGTGATTGTGATTTAACACTGCTAAAGCTGGTTAGGCTGTACGGAAAGAGGTGAGTTCGCTGTAGGACAGTATAGTTACACCACTGACCTCGTCACTCACACTCAGTCACAGGAGAGCAGATCGCCAGTCGCTCCACTCAAACAGGGAATTTATAACTCCGCGTTTCAGCCGTTGCTAAAGACTCATCTTACTCGTGGCCCCCTCCCTCTCTAATCATGTAGAAAAACTCGGAAGTGCGCCCTCTCCTGGCGACAGCAGAGTAGTGTCACTTTCCTTGCAGTAGAAAACGCCACCAAGGCTTTCGCTGAACGTGGGAGTGTGAGAATGGAGTATTATATCGAACATTTATCGAACATGTCGTATCGCTCTATCGAGGAAAAGTTATATCGTAATAATTATCGTTATCGTTTTATCGCCCAGCCCTACTCCAACTCGTCCTAAAGTTATTGGATGGAGCTCCTTCACTCCAGTGAATGCAGCTCCACTGCTCCACAGCTTAGCACTCAGGGGTTTATAGATCTCTAGTTGACACTTAAAGTGAATTCAGTATTTATAAAGCTTGTGTGGATACTTTTGGACAGTTCCAATACAGTCAGTCAGTGTAGTACAAATAATAATTAAAGATAACACACACATCTACAAAGGAGATCACAGAACGTGCACATCCACAGAATGTAAACTGAATGTACAGGGTATTCATAAATATATAGTTCAGGTGGAATATGATTGAAACAGCTGCTGATTTCTATAGAGAAATTGTTCTCTTAAACAGCGTTTATATTACTTGATTATTAATCTTAAAAGATTTATTTTTTTTCCTGTACTTTATTTTTCCCCCCATGGTCCACATTTGTGTGGTTTTATTTACCAAAAACAGTCATTCATTTTTACATGACCGTTTTCAACCTCTCTTTATCCCCTAGATTAAAAGACTTTAACAATGTGTACATGTCAAACTTCTTTTTTTAATTTAATTTTTAATTTAAAAACAGCAAGGGAAATTCAGGTTTCCATGAAATGGTCCCTTAATGGGAGACTTATCGTTCAGTAGCTGCTGAGTTATTCAGTAATTACTATTAGGGAGGCATGATATGGTTTTGTTTACTGAGCACAAGTATGTTTTTTAGTACTTGATACTGAGTCCAATACCATAATGAATAAAGTAGTTGTTGGTGTAAACAAGTGCAGTGTACTTTAACAGTAACTAAAATCTAGCTGATTTTAAATGATGTGAATTAACTAGCTATGCTACAACAGTAGCCTTGGATTGATTAGCGTTTCAGTGGAGAAGAGCAGGTTTTGTTCCACAGCAGAAAAGAACTTTTGTACAGCTGTAAGTAAAGTTTGTTTCATAGTTTTGACCCCTTCTCCTATTCTGTCTCAACAGCAGTCTCTGTAGTGTGAAAGCAGACCCTTGTTCACTGCCCACTTGAGTTGTTTGTCAGTGTATACTAGCCGTACATCACATAGTATCAGCTGGTAACGAATGTGGGTATCATTGCCTTTTTTTTATGAAGCTGAATCCAAGTAAATGAGCAAGGGATCGGGCTGATGCCCAATACCAGTATCGGTATCGATGCATCCCCAATTACTGTGACATTAATGTGTTAGTTATGTAGTTATGAGCATGAGTAATTGACATGTGGGCCTGCATACAGGCACTTGGAGGTCAAGGACCGATTATAAGTTTTGCTATTTTAGTGAATGATGTCATTGTTTAGACACAGCATTAGCTTTACGATAATATATAACATAAGAAATCTAATACTGTGGTTCTTCTCTCAGACCCCTCCGCTAATGACCTATGGCTCTGTCAGGAAAGATCTTGCTGGAAAGAGCAACTCTAACAGTGGTTTCTTCAAGCTTGGCCAGGAGGGCAAGTTCCGCGTCTACCACAACCAGTACAGCACAAACACCCTGGCCCTTAACAAGCACCAGCACCGCGAGGACCATGACAAGCGCCGGCACCTCTCTCACAAGTTCTGTATGACCACCGCTGGCGAGTTTAAGTGGAATGGCTCCGTCCACGGCTCCAAAACGCTGACCGTGTCCACTCTGAGACTGACCATCATCCAGCTGGAGAACAACGTCCCTGCTCCCTTCCTGCATCCCAACTGGGCCTCGCACAGGTAGTCCTGCTGTAGTGTATTTCACCACCTATGTTTTTTCTAGGGTGCTGTGGATTTTTTTTTTTCTTTTGACCTGAGTTTCTTAAAGTCTAAACAGCAAACAGTGACCTCTATCAAGTTTAAACCACCTTGATATGAGTGCAGTTTTTAGCACATGATGCCATGTCAGTTGAATATTTAAGCCAGCAAGTGCAAATTATTGTCATAATGCATGATATAGGTTGCATAGAGTAGTTGACAAATGTAGGTGGTGCTGGACAGGGCAGTGCCTGATTTTGAGATGAAATATGACGTCTGCAGAAGTAGTGGTTCAGTTGTAATATATCTTAATTTAGAATATTGTACAGCACTCATTGTTATTTACTGCTTTCTAGTGTTCTCCTAATTGCAGTAATATGCAAAAGTAAGGAAGGTTATGTAAGACTGTATTTGAAAGCCGTGAACTGCAGGGTTGAACATTTCTGAGCACGGAGGGTAACAGTTCCACACAGACAAGGTTCAACACGGAACGCTCAAAAACTGGGCTCAGCACATGTTGGGTTTTTTTTTTGTTTTTGTTTGTTTTTTGTTTTTTTTTCCCCCTCCCCAGCACAGTTAGCCAACCATACTCTAATCAAATAAGTTCAGTTCACTCATACCAACGCCACATAAATGAAAGCAGTACACAATGTTAAATCCGCCATTCATCAAACATCAAAGCTTCAATCTAAACACCAATTTCTAATGATTGAACAGCACTGATAACCAAGAGAGAGTAGCGTTAGCTGGGTAGCATTAGCTTAGCTAGCATGCTGCCACCTCTGCTCACCACAGAACAAGTTCAACTCTGACAAACAAAAGCTTTCTTACGCGTAGGTGTAGGTGACAATAACTCAAATCTGAGGAAGCGAAGTCGAGTGACTCGAGGGTGGTAGGAGGGATAACTTTAGTGTGTTCGGCTAAAACCTTTGGAAAATGGAAACTGAAACTGGGGAACAGTGATGCTCTGAAAAACAGCACAGAGCACTGTCACAACATTCTTCATCTCCAAGCTGTAACTTAGTTTTAGCATTATTTTGATAGCATTTGATAGCATTATTTTTTTTTCTCTTCTTAGAAGGAATAAGAGCATTTGTCTAGACATAGTAATGTTCCTGCACCCTAAGGTTGAGTCTGTCTGTTTTAGAAATGATTTATTCTGATGGCACATTTTCTTGCCACAGGTCAAACTGGATAAAGGCAGTCCAGATGTGCAGCAAAGCACGAGAGTTTGCCTTAGCTTTGGCCATTTTAGAGTGTGCAATCAAACCAGTGGTTATGCTCCCAGTCTGGAAGGACTCTCTGGGTCACACAAGGTCAGTAAACACAGACGTGCATCATCTGTGCTTTGAATTGCAGATATATAGATGAGTAATCAAAACGAGATGAACTTGATTTATATAAAATGTGAATATGTATTGGAGTATGCCTTTATTTTATACTTGTGCTGCTGAGTAGTTCAGAAGTGCCCTTAAGTAAATGGATGTTTGCAGTATCCTGAAACATTTTGTTTCCTTTCATACTTCTTTTAGTAGGAAGTCATGTTCTTCTAAAGTGCTGTACTGATGTGTCACTAATGTCTTTGCCCGAAGCTACTTAAAAATGTAATGTAAAGGTTAAACAACGCTGATTAAACAAGTCACAAAGTCACCTTGCTCTTTTTATCCCAAATTATTCCCTCCACTTTTCTCTCTCGGTCCTCCCTTAGGCTTCATCGAATGACCTCTATGGAGCGGGAGGAGAAAGAAAAGGTGAAAAAGAGAGAGAAAAAACTGGAAGATGAAGAGACAATGCAGCAGGCCACGTGGGTGAAGTACACATTCCCCATTAAGCACCAGGTGAGCACAGCACATGCTCTCAACGCTGCATTTAGTCTTGCGCAGATAATGTAGCACACGACTGGTTCCAAGGATACAGAGATGAACTTTTGTGGAACAGTATTGGGACAATCAGCTGAATTGTTTGTTGTTTAAAGGCAGGAAATTGTTGATGGTATATACCAGTTCTTTTGGCATGCATCACTGAAACCACCAGATTCTCTTTTTTAGTGCAGCTTTGAATTTATGAAATTCAATGATTTTACAATTCACTGATTTGAAGAAATCGTTCAGAGAAAAAATATTTTATGCAGTTTTCCAAAAACACAGATGTAGTTGATTGGCTGAGACATATTTGGTGTCCAAATTTTGTTTCTTCTGTTTAGCGCTGGAGCTTATGGGGCTAACATTGCAAACAAACACTAGAAATCAATAGTCACCCGAATATTTTCTCTAGATATTTATGCATATGTAATATATTCCCAAAACTTCTCAATCCACATCCATGTCTTCATTAAGGTTGTGCAGACTTTCCAGTGTGGTTCCAGACACAGTGTAACTTACTGTGAACTGTAAAAAATTAACAAACTGTTCACTTCTAGTGTTGTTGTCAGCAGTAGCCTCATAGCTCCAGTTTTAAACCGAAAAAGTAAAATGGGGAAAATTTGTATACCTTTTTTTCGATCTTTTGCTGGACTATTTATTTATTTATTTATTTATATTTAAGGCTACAGCTGCTGATTCTAATCCTGCTCAATTTTAGCCATCATTCTCTTTAACTGTATCTAAGATATTGCTTGTCTATTTTACACATTATTTATACAGTAAGTTTGTTGTCTTAAATTGAAATAATTGCTAATTTGGACAAACGTTTTTTGTCACTGTGTGGTAGGTGTGGAAACAGAAAGGGGAGGAGTACAGAGTGACTGGGTATGGTGGTTGGAGCTGGGTCAGTAAGACCTATGTCCACCGCTTTGTCCCCAGACTACCTGGAAACACAAATGTCAACTATCGAAAAGCACTTGAGGGTATGCTTTTTTTTTTCTTTCTCACAAAGTGGCCTTGACTACGTTTACATAACCATTCATTCAAGTTATTATGCATCATTACTGCAGGTTTTATTAATATGTACTACTATGTGATCGGTTTGTGACCTTTAATGTTTGGTGGTAGGAAAAGATTTTCACCAATTTAATCTCTTACTTTTTAGCTGCTAAAATTGGCAATGAAAACGAAACATCCCACCCGCAGAAACAAAATAGCCCTTCAGAAACGCATGAAGTCTCTGATTCCATCCAAAAGCCTGGAAAGGAAGACAAACAGCAAAATTCCGTTCCTGAATCCACAACAGAACCTTTTTCAGCTGAGGAGCAAACCCTGAAAGAGCAGGATGAAAAAGAGGAGGAAAAGATGGAGGTGGATGAGAAGGCTGTGGATAAGAATGATCACCTCTCCAAGAATGAATCCTCTGAACAAATGGACACTATAGCCTCTAACTCCACTAGTTCCAATGAGGAAAAAGGTATTCATATGGAACTAAATGATTAATTTTTATGTTTCTTTGTACATATTCAAGTGGTCATTGAAAACAGCGAAGCATTTGTCTTGCACATCTTGTGATTGCAGAGAAGTGTTGTATTGTATCATAATATAGTACATAATGTTTTCTTACATGATTTTCTCACATTTACAGTTAATGTTACCACATCTTCGTCTTTGCTGAATGACCAATCTCTCAAAGGGGAGGCTGTTGATGGTGAAGAGTCCAGAGTCAGTGCAGCAACTTCTCAGGCATCCTTCGACTATGAAGTTGTGAACGTCAGTGAAGGCTTCCAGCTGCGCACAGCATACAAGAAGAAAGTCAAAGCATCGAAGCTTGATGGCCTTCTGGAACGACGAGTCAGACAGTTCACCTTGGAAGAGAGGCAGAGGCTGGAGATGCTTAAGCAAACGGCCATCTCTAAGCCAGCCACTGAGAAGGTAAAGGAGGATCAGGAGACAACCACCTCGTCCACAAATCAAGAGTTGAAAACTGAAGGAACCACCCCTATTCCTCCAAAAGCTGTGGAAGCTGATGGGGTAGTAGAGCCAGTAATGAAGGACAAAGATCCTGTGGTCCAAAAGCTTGAATTTGACCAAGAGGAGGAGCAGGTGAAACCCAATTCCTTAGAACAGACTGATAACCTTGATGTCAGATTGGACTCCAGTCCAAAGACTGAAACAGTGGAACAAGGACAGAAAACAGGAACAGAAGCAGAGCACAAAACGGGCAACGGAGCACCAGTAACAACTGCTGCTGCGTTTAATGGAGGTCCACAGCAAGATCTGGAAACAGATCTTGAAGTAAAACCTGAAACGGCTTGTCCTAAAATTGTGGATGCAGAGGGGAAGACTCCAGTTGAAAACAGCTCTTCCATTAGTGAGAATGGTTTAAATGTAGAAAAAACTTTGCCAGTACATGTAAATGGAAAAGATGGTTCCATAGACTCTCCCCCCGCAAATCTCCCCAATAATATTAATTCTAAAGAGATTATGCAGACTATGGAAGATGAGACTAGAGTGGTACCACAAAAAGAACCCCTGAAATCGCTAATGAATGGCGACTTGGCTCAAGAAGGTCAGAAAGAGAAGGCTGAGCCTGATGAGGAACCAGTGGTGGCCAAGTCAGACTCTGAGTATCTGCCACCTCAGAAGATAGCTAAGCTGGAGAACAGCACAGAAGGCATTGTTGACTCGACGGTTAGTTCTGCTCTATCCCAGCCTACCCCAACAGAAGCTAGCTTAAAACCAGATGTGCTTAATAACAGTGCCAAGGTGGCGTCAATAGAGACTGAGGAAGCCAAGCTTAAATCTCTCAGTCCATCATCCATTCCATCTGGGGATGAGTCCAGCCTTAGCAGTGACGTTCCTGAGAACAGCAATAGCAGTGGTAGTGGGACTAAGACCATAATTACGCAAGTTACCACAACTACCACTACCACCACTACGGTTTCCACTGAGTCACGTACTGTCCAGTTAGCAGAAGTATCAAGCACACTTGATGGTACTGCTAGCAATAATGCTTCTACCGTGAATGCATTGGCTGAACCAAAGGTGGAGTCCACCACAACAGTCTCTACTCTTTCTACTACAACTACCACCACTGTTACCAAGGTTACTAATCCAGTCCTTGGAGCCAAGGTAACAGAGGAGAGCAAGACTGTTGTCACAGCAACGCTAACTGATGCTAAATCAGGGCCTTCAGGTTCCTCTGTGAGCTCCATGACCGTGAGTAAGGAGTACACCACTAAAGACAGGGTACGACTGATGAAATTTTCCCGCTCCAAGAAGACCCGGTCAGGGACAGCACTGCCTTCTTACCGCAAGTTCGTAACCAAGAGCAGCAAGAAAAGCATCTTCGTCCTTCCCAACGATGAGCTGAAGAAGCTTGCGCGGCGAGCCGGTATCCGTGAGGTGCCCATATTCAACTACAATGCCAAACCGGCTTTAGACATCTGGCCATATCCATCCCCAAGACCCACATTTGGAATCACGTGGAGGTCTGTAGATACTTTGGGTGCATTGTTTTGCTTTTGTCTTTGATTTTGGATCAGTTTTAGATGGTAGTTTGTTAAACATGTGCCACATGTAGTTACTCAACCCAGACATGTTTGGTGTCCAAAGTGTGCTTCATCAGTTTTGTGCTGATGTAACTAAAACCAGTTAGCTTGACGCAAACCGCATGTACAAATCATTTTTGGACATAACAGAATTGACCATGCATTTTGCAAGAAACCTATTGTTGGGGTTTATGCCTCCATTACTTGTTATTTGGGTGGTGGATCATTCTCAGCACTGCAGTGACACTGACGCAGTGGTGGCATGTTAGTGTGTGTTGCGCTGGTACAAGTGGGTCAGACACAGCAGTGCTACTGGAGTTCCTAAACATCTCAGTTTCACTGATGGACTGAGAATAGTCCACCAACCAAAAACATCCAGCCACCCTCACGTAGGCAGTGTACTTTGACCACTGATGAATGACTTGAGGATGACCAACAGAAACTGTGCAGTAACAGATGAGCTGCTGTCTCTGACTTTAAGGTGGACCAACAATGTGGATGTCTCTAATAAAGTGGACAGTGAGTGGACACAGTGTTTAAAAATTCCAGCAGCACTGCTGTGTCACTGGTTCACATTGATTTTTGTATTGATCCATTAGTGTGAACACAGCTGGTGAACAAACTAGTATTACAAGCCTCCATCTCAGTTTATTAGCTTCAAAAAGCTCTCCACTGTTAACGATTATGGGAGAAATCAGGAAAATATGGCATTCGGCTGTGTTTACTGTAATATGCATGTGCACGTTGCACACACAGTAGGAGGAAAAAAACACTTGAATTTTGTTCTGACTTCTTAAAGGTACATGGGCACAAACCATGGACATGTATTAGACTACATATGAAAGTGGCTGATGTGGTTTGAAAAAAAAAAAAGGTCAGGTTTTGGTGTTTATACATCTCTGACGTCAAATTCATGATGTGGTGCTTCACAGGTGATGTGAACATAACCAACGTTTGACAATAATTTTAGCTGATTATTGAGCCACCCTTCTCGTCTCACAGGTACCGGCTCCAGACCGTGAGGTCTTTGGCTGGAGTAAGCCTGATGTTACGGCTGCTCTGGGCTTGTCTCAGATGGGACGACATGGCAGTGAAGCCCTCTCCCGCTGTGGGAACCACACGGACAGGTACATTCTTGTTTATTTCCACTCTCCACATGAAACTACTAGGAGTGGGTGAGTGTTTAATCACATTTTTATTCCTTCATCGCTGCAGAAACATCTGAGACTGATATCACCACCACAGAGATTATCAAACGGAGAGATGTGGGGCCTTATGGCATTCGATCAGAGTACTGCATCAGGAAAATTATTTGTCCACTGGGAGTGCCTGACACTCCCAAAGGTAAGGTGACAAAGTCAGACAAGAGAGGGAGTAAACATAGTTCCAGGAGGTTTCAGTTATTTAATTATTTCTGTTAGTTCATAATTTCTATTAGGTATTTGTTCTGATTTTGTGTATTTCACTGTGAAGTGGCTAAAATGTAGCAATATTCAGAGACCCCCACACCCCAAAGAAAAGGCCTGCGCTCCAGTGCTCTGCGGCCAAAGAAACCAGAGCCTTCTAAACAGACAGGGCCTGTAGTGATTGAGACGTGGGTGCCAGAGGAGGATCTGGAGCTCTGGGAGATACGAGCCTTTACTGAAAGGTGTGATGCTCTGTGCTTATGCAATTACATATTGTTCCTATTGTTTTTTATAGGTGTGCTAGGTTGTTTCCTCCAAATAACAGAGCCACTGTGATTTCCTCGATCAAACTGTTATTCATTAAATTCTTTATGTCTGCAGAGTTGAGAGGGAAAAGGCACAGGCAGCAGACCCAACTAAGGTTAGTGTGCAGAAGAAAGCTGAAGAGGTCAAGGCCCAATTGGAAGCTCAGCTAAAGCACCAGAGATTGGCAGCCCAGCAGGTGGGAAATTAGATGGTTACCCACCTGGGGATCCCCTCCTAGCAAACTTGGCAAAAAAAGGGGCAGATAAAAAAGGGTGTTTTTTTTCCATTGGGCCTTTGTTGAAGAAAGCACCGTTTGGGGTATCCCAAGCATTTGTGACATTTTATTTGTTCCATGTGATTATTCTAATTGATTCAGTTCAAGTAAGTTTCATTCTGTCACATTTGTCAGTTTGTGTCCTTATTTCTGTAAATCTGTTCACCATGGCAAATTTTGTCATGTTCATCTCCCCTTTGTGTGCTGTGCTTCCCCATTTGAGAGTGGCTCTGCACACAAGCTCCTGACTTCTTCATATTTGCTTTGTAGAAACGGTTGGAGCAGCAAAAACCTGGAGGCACCACCACCACCTCCACCTTGACCAGCACTCCCACCAGCGCTGGATCCTCCACCCAGAAGGTGGTGGTAGGCTCTTTGACCAGTCCGGTCACCCCTGGGACGAAAGTAGTACTGGCCACCAAGTTAGGTACACCGGTGACATTCCAGCAGAACAAGAACTTCCAGCAGACCTTTGCCTCCTGGGTCAAGCAGGGCCAAGGTAATACAGGTCAGTGTTCCAGGGGTTATGGGACAAAAGTGTTGATGCAATTTAAAGTCAAGTTTTTTTCTTTTGTGTTGGACAGTGACTGAATGTTTTCAATATGTGTTCCTTTTTATTTTTTTCATTTAGTACATTTGCTTGCTGTACATACATCTCTTTATTTTACCTTTTGACTGCCTCTTAAATTTTTTTCTGAAGGATTGGTTCTACAATGAATCAAATTTACACAATTTTCCACTTACCCCAGATGTGATCGATCAGCCAAGACATGTTTGTTGTCAATTTTGCTTCTTTAGCTTAAAACTGGAGCAGCAAGGCCAACATTGCTAGCAAACACTAGAAAGCAGTAGATACCTAAATAGCCCAAATCATTTCTAATAAAAATTCATCAAATCTTCCTTTAACCTGCTTCCTTTAACCAGTATGACTTACTGTGAATTAAAAAAAATTAAGAGGTTGAGAGAAGTTTGTGGATGTATTTAGAAGGTAATGTATTTTACTTGGGCTGTTGAGTTTGAGTGTTTGATTTCAGTCTTAGCATCTGGGTTAAGTGGAAAGCTACTAAAGTTGCTAAACTACTAATTTAAAATTGTTTGTATCCGATTTTATTTATTACAGTTGAAGTAGAATGCATAGAAATATCAAAGCAGCTTGAAATGAACAGATGTATTCTAAATCAGTGATGCCCACTTACTATCCAGTACAAATGTCCATGAGCTTGGAGAAGTAAAATAACTGCTAATAGACACTTATATCTTTTTTTTTTTATTGCTCTCAATCATAACACGTTTTTAAAATATGAAGGGAAAGAAGATCTTAAATGAATGAGTACATTTGTGGTCATTGTCAGAGTACAGTTAAACTGTTGAAGAAACCTGTGGGATGGTCGTGGGCACCACTGCCACAGACCATTTTTTTTTTGCTGTGGCTGTTTTGTGGTGATCACCAGCAATCGTGTATGTTGCAGCCTCTACAACTTCTGTTACCACGGTAGCAGCAAGTAGCTACAGCACATCTGGGCAAACGTTCCAGATCGCTGCTGCCCCGGGCTCGAAGGCTGGCAATGTCCTCACCGCCAAACTGCCTCTGCCGGCCAACAGCAAGATAGTCACAGTGAACGTGCCAACCACCCAAGGAGGTAGGGCAGGCCTCGGTCCGCTCTGGCATGCTTTCTATGACTAGGCCTGCCCCCACACAAAGAGAGCCACCCTACCAAGAGCTGTCAACAAAGGCTTTTTGCTAGAGGTTTTAATGAATAAAGGCTGTGGTCTCGGTTTTTTACTCGTCAATTAAGAGTCCTGCTGTGCTTCCCAACAGTGCTGTATTGTAATTATGATAGAAAGGCAAAGCGTGTATGACTTTAAGTACTCTCTCTTATAGATCTAGCCCTGTTTGTGTCTTCTTGTTGGAGAATGTTTGTTATGCATTTTAACTGAAATTCATGATACAGTGAATACTCAGATGACATGAAAACTTGAGACAAAAAGCAAGCAAGAACTCTCACCTAGAATTCAGTTGCTGGTTATTGCTTTCCTTTGAGACGTGTCAGTTTGCATTTTAACCCCAGCTTTTCAACATAATTGATGACTCAGAGTTCAGGTGGAACCTGATGGTTGTCTGTCTTTGCAGGTGTGGTCCAGGTACAGCAGAAGGTAGTGGGCATCATTCCATCCAGCACAGCAGGCACTGCCCAGTCCTTTTCTTCATTCCAGCCACGTTCAGCTAGCGTCAACATCCGGCCCAATACCACCACCACCACACAGCAGGTGTGCTTTTTGATGGACTCTATGCAGTAAATCCTTAATGATGCGATCTCTCAAATTCATTTGATTCATTTGTTTTACTACAAAGATACTATATCCTAGTACTTTACTAAATAAGAAAGTGGTTGTAGAATCGAGATAGCTGAGTTTAAGAGTTTAAATTGATGGTTTAAGCAAAACGTTTTAACCTTACCTCATAAGTAACCAGTCAGATAAGACATGATATTGAAAATTTGTTTCATTAGTTTTGCACTAGAGCTACAAGACTAAAGTAGTTCAAAATTACCAAAAGCCTATATACCTATTATCACATACAGTATGACATATTATCTTTACAAACAGACCACTTATGGCAAAATTCAGACTTCCAGAAGCCACTACTACTAATTTTAGCTATACAACACTCCTCCCTCCCTTTTTCCACCAAATTATTGCTTTAATCTTTGACAAACACTGTATGACCCTATACATGTTTCTGCATTTTGTTCCACCTTCATATGAAAACATTACTGCGAGGAACAGACTAAACTGAATGAGTATAACAAAACTAATATTGTGATGAATTTTTTTTTTCCCTCTTTTAGGTTACAACGACTGGAGCCCCTCTCCGGCCTGGGATGACAGTGGTTCGTTCCCCTATTCAGCAGGCCACAGCTTTAGGCAAGACCATCATCCGCACCCCCCTAACGGTTCAACAAGGTATTCTTCCTGCAAGTAGGTCTTGTCTGCTTGTCTCTCGTTAAGTACTGCATGCTAGACTTAAACAGCTGCATGCTCATTGGGAAGTTCCTTGTAAGCCCTTAACACTATTTATCACAGCATTATTTAGGCCAGTGAAAACTGTGCTCCAGGACTGGAGTTGGGAAACACTGATGTTTCTGTTACAGATTTTCCTTTTCAAATTATCTCCCAGGTCAGGGCCAGCAGGTGGTCACTCAGATCATCCGTGGAACTCCCGTATCCAAGGCTGTGACTAGCGGCAGCCCGATACAGGCTGGCGTAGGCACTCCCCCTCGGCCCTCCACCCCAGGCCAGCCTCAGACCCCCCAGACGCCCACTGGTGCCCGGCCACAACAGGGCCAAGTTAAACTCACCCTGGCTCAGCTCACACAACTCACACAGGGTGCTCAGGTTTGTCCATGTCTCACACTCTAAAATTTACATGACAGCCCGCATGTACTCATGAACCTAGTTTGGTCTGAGCTTGGCTTTTTGCAATGTTACTTTTCTTGTATTCTAACGAGAAATGTGTGGTTGTATTTGGGACAATAAAGGCTAGTACTTAAAAAAGTGGGCCAACCTATATAATGTTTGTATATTATTTTTTGACCGTATAAAATTTTAGCTGCTATTGGTTATCTCCTATGGGAATTAATATATAATTAATATGTTGTTTAATTAACTCAGTTTCCATTCTGGTTCAGGCCCTGCGTGGAGTAAAGAGAATTACATGTTCCCATTCTTTTCCAATGTTAGTTTAAAGATGACTGCTTACTGTGGCTGGTTTAGCTCATTTGCTTCAAGTATTAACTCTTCCATCTTCCAGCTCTACATTTCTTTTTGAAACTTTGTCTGAAAAGCTTCCAGCTAAAGATAAACCATGGAGAAGGTTTGCATCCTAAACGTTTTCTCTGCCCTCTAACACTGCATTCACATTTGGTCTTTCTTTATCTCTGTGAAGGGAGGGAATCCAGGTTTGACTGTAGTGATCCAGGGCCAGGGCCAGACCACAGGCCAGCTCCAGGTCATCCCACAAGGGGTGACCGTGATACCAGGTCCTGGGCAGCAGCTCATGCAGGCAGCCATGCCAAACGGCCAGGTCCAGCGCTTCCTCTTCACCCCCATGCCCCCTGCACCAGCTCCTGCAGCCCCTGCCGTATCCACACCCAGTACCTCTGCCACCCCAGTTACCACTACCGCCACCACTACCACACCTACAACGCCCACACATCCAGGTAGGATGTTCTTGGCTCTAAAAGGCCTGTATGAAAATTAGTTCTCTACATAGGAATAGGCTAGTGGTGGGGTAAAATATGGTCATCAGCCTCACTTCTGGAGATTTACTTTCTTTGGGTTTAGTTCCCATCCATGTCTAATATTCTGCTCGCCTTCTCAATTATCACTAATGCACCTGATCTAGCTAATCAAAGACTTCTAAATACTTTCATTAGCTGAAGCAGTTGTGGCAGATTATGGTTCAGAATAGATTCCACAGATAATCTAGGTAGGTCTTCAGAACCAGGTTTGATGACCACTGGTTTAAGTCAGTATTCCAGATTAGAATGTGTGCCATATTGCAATGATGGAATGACCACTGTTAGTTTAAGGATGACTATTGATGACGATTGATTTCAGAATTGCATAGACTGCATGAATTACAAATGATTTGTGTATATCTCTTCTCCAGTGAGGCAACCTGCAGCACAGGCCCAACCTCCTGTCCAACCATCCAACCTTCCATCGTCTCCACCCTCTCTCCCTGCACCCCAACCTGTCCAGCATCCAGTCACCCCAGCCCAAACCCCAACACCTGCTTCTCCACTCCAGACACCTCAAACCCATATTTCTTCACCTCAGCCCCAGCTCCAGCCGCAGCCCCAAATTCAACCTCAGCCCCAGTTACAGCCGCAGCCCCGAATTCAACCTCTACCCCAACTGCAGCCACAGCCCCAAATTCAACCTCAGCCACAAATACAGCCCCAACCACAAATTCAACCCCAACTTCAAATACAGCCCCAATCACAACTTCAAACTCAGCCTCAGCCCCAATCCCAAGTCCAGTTGCAACCCCAGCTTCATCCACAGCCCCAAATCCAGCCACAGCCTCAACCCCTGACTCAACCACTGCCACAGCCTCCACCCCAAACTCAACCACTGCCACAGCCCCAACTTCAGCTACAGACCCAACCTCAACTTCAGCATCAGCCTCAACCTCACCTACCTGCTCAAACCCCAGTACAGCAGTCTCCTCCCTTATCTGTCTCTCACGTCGCCCAGGTTGCCTCCCCTCCAACACAGGTAGCCTCCATTGCCGTAGCCCCACAGGTGACCCAGACCACAGTAACGCAAGTTCGACCTCAGATCCAGCTCCCCGCCCAGCTCCTCAGTGTGCCAGGTCTCCAGCAGCAAGTCCTCTCCCACATCCAAAACCAGGTTGCGGCCCAGCTCCAGGCCCAGGCCCAGCAGGGCACCCTTCCCCAGCAGATCAAGCTGCAGCTCCCCATCCAGATCCAGCAGCAGGGTGGAGGACAGATGCAGACGCATCAGATACAGAATGTGGTGACCATCCAGACAGCCAGTGTGCAGGAGCAGCTCCAGCGCATTCAGCAGCTGCGAGACCAGCAACAGAAGAAAAAGCAACAGCAGGAGGCTAAGAAAGAGCATGCTCAACAGGCCACCAGCCAGAGCGACCTGCTGCAGAAACAGGTACAGCGCAGCCTTGGAAAAGATTTATATTTAGTCAGGCTGAAAGGACTTAACATGAATATGTAGTGCTGTGCCCATTCATCCATCCTTCTATCCCTCCATTTAGTTTAATCAGTGTGGCTAAACTAGCTATTTAGTACATAAATGGCTGTGAAATGCAAGTATATCTTGAAAGACCTTTGTACTTTTTTTGGCATTTGATACACAATCGCCATGGTGGAAATGCAACCAACAGAGATACCTGTGTTGATCATTGTGATCCTATACCAAGCCCTGTTGAGTCTTACCTTGATAGAGTGCAATTTGAAGGAAAGATTGTGTTGCAATATGAATGTGAGTAACTTGGAGTAAAGTAACATTTAAAAGTGCAGTAGTACATCAATACCGACCATATAGTCTTATTTACATTATTGTTTGTTTAAGCTTTACTGGGGTTTCTATGCCTGTTTTAGGTGGTGATGAAGCAGAATGCAGTCATAGAGCACTTAAAGCAGAAGAAAACCATGACTCCTGCAGAAAGGGAGGAGAACCAGAGGTAAGAACAGTACTGCACTCCCCACATCTAGATTCTGACACCACCCCAATATCAAGACCTCGATGTATTGGTTAAACTGGAACATATCTCTTATTGTTTCTCTGTTTTTCTTTTCTTTTTCTTTTGCAGAATGATCGTGTGTAACCAGGTGATGAAGTTTATCCTGGACAAGATCGACAAGGATGAGAAGCAGGCAGCTAAAAAGAAGAAGAGGGAGGAGTCGGTGGAGCAGAAGCGCAGCAAACAGAATGCCAGCAAGCTCTCAGCTCTGCTCTTCAAACACAAGGAACAGCTCAAAGCTGAGATCCTGAAGAAGAGGGCATTGCTGGATAAGGAGCTACAGGTGGAAGTACAGGTGAGAGCATTAGTGTTACCAGAGTTTGTCCTTTGTCCTGAAATTTAAAATCAAAGTAATTGTTGAGCAAAAAAGTCACATTTGCAACTTTCACTCAGGTCCAAGTAACAGAAGCTTATCAAGAAGCATCAGATACGCTGCATGCCTAAATCACACACCTCCCTCAGACTGTGTGGAGTGGTTAAGGAACCTCAAATAGACTTGCTGATGTGCTTTCTGACACTGTATGACATACTGTTATGTACAAAAACAAACGATACCATGAACAAAATTCAAGCTTCAAAAAACAAAACTTCAGACACCAAAGCTGTCTCAGCTTTTCAGATACTGTCAAAATTGCTGACTGTTTTGCCCCCCTTGTGTTAGCTTTTAATTTATAAATGAAGTATCAGAAGTATTACAAATTAGCATGTTATTGTTAGCTGTACACTTTTCTGAAGAGGTACACAGTTAAAAAGCTACAACTTGTTAGCATACAGCACTGTTTGGTAAAATAGCGCAAAAACAAAAGTAATTGACCTTAATTAACTGAGTTTAGTTCTCAGACCAGGTCTTGTTTACAGCAAAAATCAGCTATGAAGTCAGAACACTTTTCCTTGAGTCAAAATGTAAACAGCAAAGGAACACTTAACGGCCATACTCATCAGAATCAGATTGTGATCCAGTATGAAGGGACTTGTCTGTATACTTCACTCACTCTGGTTCTCCCTCCTATTCAGGAGGAGTTGAGGAAGGATCTGAGCAAGTTGAGAAGAGAGAAAGAGAAGGCTCAGGCTGCAGCCTCTCAGGCAGCCGCTGCAGCCGCCAGTGCCCAGGCAGCTGCCCACGCTGCGGCCACCGCCACTCCAGTCACCTCCTCGGCCTCCAGCCACAAACGCAAGCGCGATGAGGACCGTGATGGAACCTCGTCGAAGAGCAAGAAGAAGAAGATGATCTCTACGTCCTCAAAGGACAGCAAGAGAGATACCAAGCTGTACTGTGTATGCAAAACGCCCTACGACGAATCTAAGTAAGTACCTTAAGATTGCTTCAGAGCAGGAAAGTGAATATTATGAAGGTTGTTGTGGAGTTTTTTAAATAGATCATTCCATACCCAGTTCGGATCCTCCCAAAATGTTCTTTCCTTCTTTGCTAACCTCCTTTGTGTTTTTGACGTTATCATTTTGAAATAATTACCTAATGATGATTATTCTAGCGTGCAGTGAAGAATAATTAGCGAAGGATGTCTGTTCCTCAGATATTACTGTTGTCATTTGTCATTAATGGCTTTGCATGACACTGTTGCAGGTTTTATATCGGTTGTGATCTCTGCTCAAACTGGTATCACGGTGAATGTGTGGGCATCACAGAGAAGGAGGCAAAGAAGATGGATGACTATATTTGCACAGAGTGTAAAAGAGCACAGGAGGGCACCTCAGAGGAGCTCTACTGTATCTGCAGAACGCCTTATGATGAGTCCCAGTATGTGATCTTTCCTCTGCTCTTTATTTCCTTTACACAGACACAGAAAAATAAAAGCATTAAATAATATTAAATAATACAGCTTATGACATTCTTAGATCTAGCACCTCAGAAAGGCTTTTGCAAAAATAGGTACAAAAATTAAAAGAAATTACCTAAGTAGAATGAACATGAAAAAGAATTTAAAAACAAGGGTCATAAGTGTTTTTAAAGTTAGCTTTTTTAGGGTAAAGTGAAATAAAAAATAGAGTAAAAACATGAAAAGGGAATTAAAACTAAACTTTCTTTGTAAGCCACTATCCTGTTCAGAATATTTAAAAGCACAGTGGAACTTCCTTTATCTTGGCATGTGAAGACTGGATGTTGACACAACTAACAAAATCAGAATTGCTTTTTGAGACTAAAACGTGCCTATGCTCTTGTGTGTGTAGGTTTTACATTGGCTGCGACCGTTGCCAGAACTGGTACCATGGGCGCTGTGTGGGCATTCTGCAGAGTGAGGCCACTCATATCGATGAGTACGTGTGCCCACAGTGTCAGTCTACGGAGGAGGCCATGACGGTCTTGACGCCGCTCACAGACAAGGACTATGAGGGCTTAAAGCGAATCCTTCGCTCCTTACAGGTGATTGTCAGTAGGAATTTAAGGGGATTTTCATCAGTTTCTCAGTTGCTGTAAAATTCCAATCACTGAGATAAAAACAAAGTAATTCAGGGTGGTTAAATGTGAAGGTGCATTGTAGAGAAATTTATTGACTCTGATTTCTTTGCAGTGGTGGTGATGGGAACCACGGAGTTGTGATGTCTGCAATGCAAATATAGTCATTTTATTTATGATCCAGAATGACTAGTGAGCCTTCATTTGTCTCCTGAGTTTTATATGTAATACTGAGGACAATAAAATGGTAGAACTGGAATACGAAGGACTTTTTTGACTTAGAACGCCCTAAGAGAACCCCTCTTCCATAAATGGATTTAAATGTTTTAGGCCAAAAGCTTATTTCAGTGTCATGAAATTTTGATTAAATTAGCTTTTAGAGACATTAAACACTGTCCGGTTCCTATCACCACCACTGTGAAATCTCTCTAGAAAGGAGTATTTCACATCAAGCCGTTCTGAATGCTGTTTAATTATTGGGAAAAAAAATGAGTGAAATTTACTTTTAATATGTAGACAGTGATGTTTAGTTGTATATGCTGAGTGTAAATGACCTTGTCTTTCTGCTAGGCCCATAAGATGGCATGGCCGTTCCTGGAACCAGTAGATCCTAACGATGCTCCAGATTACTATGGGGTCATAAAGGAACCAATGGGTAAGTGCATACTTGATAAACTGAATTAATTATTATTTGGACAGGATTAGTTGTACATGGGAAAGTGGGGTAATAATATTATTTTACCATGATGTCTGTAATGCTTATGAAAGAGATGAGGGTGGCTACTCGATGTATACACTGTAGTCACACAAACAAAATTAGAAAGTAGAAAACATGAGTTTGGAAATTTACAGTCAACACTGCTGCATAAATTCAAACCTTTTTGTCATGTTTTAATGTTAAGTGTTGTAACTTGAGGTAGGACAAAACAAACAGGCTCGATTTTGATATGATGGAATTATTAATCTTTACCTGGGATTTTTTCCGTGTTTTTAGTGAAAATGAAAAAAAGTGTAAATCACTGGAATCTTTACTGATGCAGGAGTGCACAGTCTGTAAAAATGACTAACATGGCAGATTCAAGATGTGACTAAAGTTGCTCAGAATCACTGGTAATAATTATGCTACCGCTCCTGCCTTTGTAACATTTGAGTAGTACTTTAAACAGTATAATTTATACCAACTCCCATTAGTGATGGTACAGTGTGATCCATAAGTAATTAGACTGGGAGGCCATTTTTATTGTTTTGACTCCAGCACACTGGATTGGAAGTCAAGCAGTGGCTAAAGTCCAAAATATAACCTATAATTCAAGGGAACTTGTCTTTTTTTTTGGTTAAACCATATAGGAATCACAGCCCTTTTACCAGGGAGTCAAAAAGAATTGGACAAATAAACACTCTTAAATAAAATTGTAATGTTTGCTACTTTCTTGCTAATCCTTCTTTGCAAATTTGTAGTGTGCAACTGCTTGAGGTCTGCAACCCACAGACATCACTTGATCCACTGTAGCTTTCCTGGTGATGTTCTGCCAGGCTTGTAATGCAGATTTCAGTTCCTGCTTATTTTGAGGGCTGTTTGCTTTCAGTCTTGTCTTTAGTACACCATACACATGTTCAGTGGGGTTCAGGTCAGTGCTACAGGCCTGGCTAGTTAAGAATGCTACTTTTGGCTTTTGATAACTCATCCTTACTTTAGTAGTATGTTTTGTGTCGTTGTCCTACTGCAAGATCAAGTCACCCCAACCTAAAATGTTTAGTTGGATCTGAACATTTACTCATGGAGTGTATGCACTACCTAGAGAACATTTATCTCTTCTTCCCTGTTCCATTATATTTTTCTCTTATATTTTCCTGTGTGTTACCTGCAGACCTGTCTACAATAGAGCAGAGGATACAGAAGCGATTTTACAGCAAGCTAACAGAGTTTGTAGCGGACATGACCAAAATTTTCGACAACTGCCGCTACTACAACCCCAGTGACTCACCTTTTTATCAGTGCGCCGAGTTCTTGGAATCCTTCTTTGTACAGAAGCTCAAAGCTTTCAAAGCAAGCAGGTAAGGCTGGCTCCTGGTGGACTGCTGAGTTTTTGAAGGACATTCATTGTGAAGAAAGAAGAAATCACATTTGGTGCTCTTATTTTTACTCGAAAGGCAGTCGTTTGTGCTGCATGTGTTTATTTTTTTGTTGTAGTAATGTTTTTAAAACCATGGCATTCAGAAAGAAAATGGTACTTTGATTGGTGATTTCATTTTTAGACCAAGGCACATATTCACAAAACATCTTTGATTCCTGTAATCATTAGAATGTTGGAATTTTATGTGACTTTAGCCTTAAAGGAATAGTTTGGCAAAAAGAAACGGACGTTACAGAATTTTCCCCTTTAGCCAAATATAGTCATTTGGCTAAGACAGGCATGGCAAATTGGGGAACTTCCAGGCCAAAGTGCTGTGGAGATTAGCATTTACCCTCATCTAATGCTCTGAATTCAGTTCATAAAGGCCTTGCTGATTAGCTGATGAGCTGAATCAGGTGTGTTTAATGGGGTAGTGTGCTGAATTCTGCAGTGTTTTGGCCCACAAGGGTGGCATCTTGACTTGTAAGCCAAGACATGGTTGTCTAGTTTTGCATTGGAGTGGTGAGGTTAATGTCGCTAACAACTGATGGAAGCTTAAACCCCAACAGTTAGCATTGTGCAAACTGCATGCCTAAATCATCACACACTTACCTCAAACTGTGTTAGGTGAGCTCAGATAGGCTTGCTTATGTGGTTTCTGTCCCTGGGTGAAATACGGTTATCTCTAACAAAAGAACAGACAAAATTTAGACTTCAGGAAGGCAGCTACTTCTGCTTTTAGCTACGCAAAATATTTTTTAAAGATAAAAATGTCATTCAGCGTCAGAAACCACATACACAAGTCTGTTTGAGATTGCGTAACCTCATGCAGAAACGTGATTATTTCTGCCAATTTTGTAGTTCTTTTTACATTAATAATGTGATTTTCTAAATGCTGTTTTGTTTTTGATATGTAAAGAATGTGATCTAACAAAGAAGCAAAATTACAGATTTTTATCCAGTTTGTCACAGTACTATTCTGAACAAGAAAACACATCAATAGAAATATAATTCACACATAAATAATACATTACTCTAATTAAACAAACAAGTGCTTCTTGATCTGAACTGCATTCTGAACGAACTTGTGTGTTTGCTTGGGGAAAAAAAACACACTGCCTCCAACGATAAAGAAAGCCTTGTCGAAACTCGGCAGCATTGTAAATGAGGGTCACCCTCAATGTTCTCTGAGATAAAATAAGGGTTGATTGATTAATTTTATACAGGGTGATTCAAAAAGATTCATCTGATTTCAAAATGATTTCACTTGTAATTCATTACAGAACAATGCAGTAAATTAAACCATTAACCATTAACAATTACCAATTGTAAATGGTTTAATTGTGCATAAAATTTATTATGTAATTTTACAAGCGCTCAGTATGAACCTCCTCCAGCTGTACGAACATCAACACGATAGTCAAATTGATCCCATACTCGATTGAGCACATCTGGTGTCCCTGTCAATGCAATTTTGGAGTTTGTCCAGTATTGTGGAACCAACGACAAATGCCCTGAGCTGTTTGAGGTTCACTGCTGACGAAAATAAAGTTGCACAGTTATGACAGATTCACTCATATTGAAGTGGAGAGCGCAAAACGCTTTCTACTCAGGGGTCACCATCTCCTCGCAGACTGAAGGGAGCCATCTTCCGGTGCCAATGACCCCCTTCTTTCAATTGGTACGTGATTGGTTCCTAGGTGCCTCACTGACTCTTTGAAATCGGATTAATCTTTTTGAATCACCCTGTATAACAATAGAAAGAAAAGCTCCATTTCTACACACTGAAATTGTTAAAATTATCTTACTGTTGCCAAAAGAGGAAGCATTCAACCGAACACCTCTGGAGGCAGATTTAAGCGAGCAAGGGTTTTTTTTTGTTTTTTTTTTTGTGGTGGTGGTGGTTAACAACTTTTGAGTGATTTCTTTAGGAACCACCTTGTACAAAGCTAACTGTTTAAGCTTCCATTACTTGTTAGCTACAGTAGCCTTGTAGCTCCAGTGCAGAACTGAACAGGCAAACTTGTCTTGACTGAACAACTGATCAACTGCCTTGGGAATAAAGGGGAATTCAGTGATTTTATCCTCTAAACTCTGGGAAAGTTGAGAATATGGGCCCTGTTCTCTGGCCACGCTCAGGGTCGGTTACTAATTTCATTTGCATCTGTCGCCTGGCTTGTGATAGTATCAGCTTATGTGTAGTGTAGTATATTTAGCTGTGTTAGAAGTGTCCTATGTTTGCATGCTTCTTCATCCACCTCAGTTTGGTTTGTGCTTCTTGCATGTCATTCACTCCACCCGTTCTTCTCTTGCAGATTGTGATGTCATGAGTCTGACGTATAGCTGGAATCTTTGCTGGAGGGGTGGAGTTTCTCTTTTATAGAATCATGGAACTCGCTGTTTCATGAACTGCTGAAACTCCCCACGATTTTACTTCTAAGCAAATTGAATAATTGTGCTCCTGAAGACCTCAGGAGAGAAAACACACTTTAGAAGCCAAAAATCCAGACAGGCCTTCACTGACAATCACAGTATGGCAGCCATGTGGCTAACTGATGCATACAGAGTAATCAAGGGACATGTCTCAGTGGACACATGCACACACATTCATTTTTTTTCTTTTTTGAAGCCTGTTTTTAATAATGTTCACATAAGTAATTGTGGTCAGCGGATCCAGATGGAAATTTAGCATTTTGTTTACTTGCTGGTTTAAAGATATTTTATTTGTATTTGCCCAACAGCAACTTCTGTGTTCTTGCTCAGATATGTTTACCTTGGCACTAATACAATGTTGTGTATATTTTATTGTAATATATATTGAATTAAGTGTCATTTGGCTCTTAGCCAGCCTTACCGGTTCTCTCATTTTTGATCAATTGTCCATTTCGAACACTTACGCTCTTACAGATGAAACTAGCTTTAACACAATGCTCAGTACTCATCTGCAACGTAGATCAGTCTAATAGTAATAAAAAAAAGTATATATATGTATTAAAGTGTCTTGTGCTTTTAATATGGTTTTAAATCCTTTTGTGAAGGATTTTTTCATTATGACCGTGGTGATTTTCTGAAAGAGAATTGGAGACTTTAATACTTTGTCTAGTGTAGTTCAGTCACTATTTTAGTGACATTTCCTTTAGATTTTGTGACTAAAGCACTAATTGAACTATCCACAAATGTGTTTGTGGCAACTGTTGCAAGGTTGGACAAGCATTACAGAATGTTAGCAAACATCCTGTTCAGCCTAATAAATTTAGACTTTAGGTTTGCTACATAGCCTTGATTTTCCAGTTAATGCTGTGCTGCTGAGCTGAACTTTGTTGTAGCTTATCGAAAATCTATACCTGATATATACAGTATCCTCTTTCACGTGCATACCAAAATGAATATAATTTCAAATCAAATGGGAAATTTACTGTTTTTTTTTGTTTTGTTTTTGTTTTTTTTATCTTTCTGCATAATTCCATGTTTGAGATGTTAACAAAGCCTTTCAGAATGGTTTGATGTGAAATAGTGAGACTAATACCTTTACACTGGTGGTGGTACCAGGGGTTGAAATGTCTACAACACAAATATAATCATTTACTATCCAAAGAGACCAGTGAAACTTGGTCTCTTGTCTTCTGAGTTTTTATATGTAATGTTGATAAAATAGTGTTAAATCTGAAACAATATTTTCTTGGGGGACTGTTTTGCCACAGGACGGCCTGTGTGTGCCCCTTTGCCATGAGTGCATTTTTTAAAAAAATCAGGTCTCAGGTATCAAACAGTGTGTTTGTAACTTCCTGTGATGTAGCTTTTAGAGATATTAAACACTTCAGATGTCTGGTTCCTATCACCAACACTGTGAATGAATTTTGGAAAGTTTCTCTAAAACATCAAACCACCCTGAATGACTTCCACCTAAAAAGTATTTGATTAAGCAGAAAGGTTAAAAAATCGGTTGAATTTCGCTTTAGTACGTAAGTAACATACTTTAAATTTTAGAACGCTCCAATTTCTCAATAAATTAAAGGGGATTTCTGCCTACATTCTGTAATGTCTGTTCAACCTGGCAACTGTTACAAAAGAACCTGTTTATAGGTTGAGCATACTTGAGTCATTGAAAAAACCTTGTTTGGGCATTTTGATTTCTTTCACAAAACTGGTCTCCGAACAGCAGAAAAGGGCAAATTCTAGGAACACCAATAAATGACTGAAAGGCATTCCCTGCAGATTATGCCAACATGGCTGCCATGTCCTCTCCCATTCCTGTAGCACCCTTCCGGCATCGTGTGTGTGCGCGTGTCCTCCCTCTCTGTTTCATTTCGTTTGTCTCGTGTACTTGTGTGTCACTGCTGTTCAATAAAACATCAAAGGGCTCTAAACTTCACTTCAGTTTGCTCTCTTTTGTATTCTGTAGGTCTCATAACAACAAACTACAGTCTTCAGCCTCATAGAACACAACCACATGCAGTGCTAAAACTCGCCCAAAAGGAGTTTTTTGTTTTGTTTTGAGGGGAGTTGTGGGGGAATGGGGAGATCTTTTGGACAGTCGACCCACAAGATGGACCCAGTCTTCTCGGAAGCCCTACACGTTCTCAATTTTTCTCTATCTCTCCTTGAACCGATGGTTCTTCCCCATCAACCAGCATCGCACAGAACTGCAGCGTTCAAAGGACGTTCTCTTTGACCTGCCCAGCTCTCTAACTATGGAGGAATTACATCGCGCATTTTGTAACGATTGTTACCTCAAAGCAGTGACTTTTGAATGGGATGCCCTTTTGCCCCCCCTCTTTTTTTTTTTTTTAAATCATGTTTGCATAATTCAGGTCTACCAATCTTTTTCATAAAATTAACATCTTTTCACATGATGTACAAGGAAGAACACGTTTAAGAATTACACGGACGCTGGACACATCCAACTGTGTTTGTGAAGCAGTTGGGGTGGGGGTGGGTCGGGGTACGGGACGCCTAACTGAGTAGCGTGCCGTATTAATGCAGTAAGGAGGCGTGACTGAAACAGCTAAAACCAAGATGCATTGGAAGGCATTCTGTTTGTATGTCTCTTCTTTTTTCTTTCTTTCCTTTTTTTGTATTACAGCTGAAGAAATATTGATGTATATGAAACATAAATAAATGGAAAGGGCAGTGTTCTCTTTCCCACACTGATGAACATGGCCTCATATTTCTTTGACGACTCACTTGACCCAGGACTCTGACAAAGTATGAGGGTGTGTAATGTCACTAGGAAAACCGAATGTTGCTTCAGAGCGATACTATAAGCACTTCAGTCAGTTTGAAATGTACAAGCAGATAAACTGTACTCTTTATGGTCAGAGTTTCTCAAACTTTTATGCTAGAGACCCTTTTACTAATAAGTTACTAACTTATTTATCTACACATGAATTTCAGATCAGTTGTATGAACACAATTTCTATTTATTTGCTTTTATTCTGTTTATTTGTTTAACATACTGGGAAAAAAATATCATTTGTGCCGCATTATTTTCCCAACATGTTATTCAGCAAATAAACAGTAATTGTGCATCATTTATAAATGTGCAGAAATGTGTTCTTATGTTCTTTGTACTTATTTTCACTTAAATCACCAGCATGTGCAGTTTGACCAGGAGCGGCCAAACTTTTGCATACAACTATAAAACAGTTCTAATATTTGGGGTTGGAAATGAGTGGACAGGCTTTAAAAGTATCCACTGGAGTATAATTAGTTGAACTTAATACGTTAATATGGACACGAACCTGACAAAATAGCTTTACTAATGCGTCCAGACCTCGTGTTGTTCAGAGTGTGTTATTCCGCACAATTAAATTAGTATGTATAGAAAGTCACAGTGGTTTGGTCTGAAATGTGTCATTCTAGAGAAACTTACCAAGTTGTTCACAGTGGTGGTGATAGGAACCAGACATCCATTGATTTAATTCCTCTAAAGCTCCCTCAAAGCTCATTATTACATTAAAATTGTTACAGATATGCTTCCTGTTGCCTGAGACGTTGTTTTTTTACGATAATTTTGAGGAAGGTTTTCACCTAAAACATTTTTTAAATATATTTAGGACAGAGACATACATGCAGGGCGCTGTATGGAAAAATGTAGTACCAGAAAATAAAGTTTTATCAGATTTACCACTATTTTACAATCATCAATATGACATTGACACTCAGACACGTGTTGGCTCCCTGGTCACTTTGGATAATAAAATAGCTATGTTTGTGTTGTAAACATCGCTATGTATTCAAAAGCCCAGTGAGTAGAGTGTGGTTTGGCTATTTGCCTGAAGCACCAGAATGTAACTGCTACATCATTTAAGGTGGAACAGGAAATGTAGCTAGCTAGCTATCGAGACATCAACATAAAACAATGGTTATCGTAATTTTTTAACTGAGAAAATACTCACATTTGTTGGTTTCTTTAGTTGCTCGCGCAGCCATTTTGCCATCTTTTTTCCTCATAACACTCAGTTTGGAGTATGCCTCTGTAAAACCTCCATTTCGAGGGCCATGTAGCCCTAACACTTCGCCCTAACCCTCTATCTCAAGAAAAATCGGGACACCCTACCCCTAGACGTCAACATGCAAAACGGAGGGGTGAGAGAGAGAGAGATAGAGATAGATATATAGATATATATAGATATATGTATATGTGTGTGTGTGCGTGTATATATATATATATGGGCAGCGTCCTGTGACCATTGATAAAGGACTAGAGGATGACCAACACAAACTGTGCAGCAGATGAGCTACAGTCTCTGACTTTACATCTACAAGGTAGGACTGACAAGGTAGGATTGTCTAATATAGTGGACAGTGAGTGGACACAGTGTTTAAAGACTCCAGCAGCAGTGCTGTGTGTAAAGTCGGAGACGATTGAACTGAAGAACAGGGTAAAAGGGGGCTAACAAAGTATGCAGAGAAACAGATGGACTACAGTCTGTAATTATAAAACCACACAGTGCACCTATACAGTAAGTGGAGTTGATAAAATGGACACTGAGCGTAGAAACAAGGAGGTGCTCATAATGTTATGCCTGATCGGTGTATACATATATATATATATATATACACACACATACACATACATATATATATATATATATATATATATATACACACACATTAGTTTCTACACTAATTGTTCATTTATTTTATCAGTTCCACTTACCATGCGGGAGCACAAATTGTAGTTCAATTATAGACTGTAGTCCTTACTTTGTTAGCCCCCTTTCTTCAGTGGTCAGGACCCCCATAGGACCACCACAGAGCAGGTATTATTTGGGTGGTGGATCATTTCCAGCACTGCAGTGACACTGACGTGGTGGTGTGTTAGTGTGTGTTGTGCTGGTACGAGTGGATCAGACACAGCAGTGCTGCTGGAGTTTTTAAACACTGTGTCCACTCACTGTCCACTCTATTAGACACTCCTACCTTGTTGGTCCGCCTCATTTAAAGTCAGAGACTGTAGCTCATCTGTTGCTGCACAGTTTGTGTTAGTCATCCTTTTGTCCTTCAGTGGGCAGCACAGGACACTGGCCACAGGACGCTGTTCGCTGGAGATTTTTAGTTGGTAGTCCAGCAGTGACACTGAGGTGTTTAAAACACTAGCAGCACTTCTGTGTCTGATCCACTCACACCAGCGCAACACACACTAACACACCACCACCACGTCAGTGTCACTGCAGTGCTGAGAATGATTCACCACCCATATTATAGCTGCTCTGTAGGGTCCTGTGGGGATCCTGACCATTGAAGAACAGAGTGAAGGGGAGCTAAGAATGTATTTAGAGAAACAGATGGACTACAGTCTGTAATTGTAGAACTACAAAGTGCACCTATATAGTAAGTGGAGCTGCTGGTTTTAATGTTATGGCTGATTGGTGTAAATATATAAGTAACGTACACCAAACACTTCTTTTACTATTCCCAAAATATGGCAAAATACACATGGAGCTTAAACAGTGCCAGCATAAACACAGAGTAACGTTAGAGATAAAAGCATATACATCTGCGCCATGTGACCACTCACTGCACACAATTCTCGGTCGTTTAAACAAATGACCTGCAAAGCCGATATAATGTAAACTCGAATATGAATAAACTTTGCTCCAAATTCACATATTTGACAGGCTTTACTAGCCTTAAGCCGCATTAGTCGTTCAAACATCAAAATCTCGCGTTATCTTGAGAAGCACCGCCCCTTTCTGGCTTGTGATTTTTCAAAACAGTCCAATCGGACGGTGCTTTTGCTCAAACAGACCAATAGGATCGCTCAGAGCGGGAATTTAAAGGTCTGTAGTACAGTCTCACCAGCACAGTTCCTTTGGAGAAAGACGGTAAGTAATGCGTTCGAACTAAATGCACGTTTATATATTAATATATAGTATATTTTGAAATAATGAACACTTTAGTTTTTTAATATTAATTTTATATGATGCGCAGGGAGTTTTGAATGAGCTATTTTGAGACTGGTCTCTCGGACAGACCCGGCGAGATCATGCGAGTCTTTTGCTAATATTTGCATATTTATGCGTATAGATATTAAATACTGCTGCTTTGACTTCTAATAAGCGTACAGGTTTCTCTACGTGTGACGGGACGACGTTTTATGCTTAATGTAAACTTTCGTCGTAGACACAGCCGGTGACAGCGTGTCTGTCTTTTGCTAATCCCACTCCTTTTTTTTCCTTCAGGTTTTTCATCATCTTTGATTAGCGCTTATCTAACTTGCTGTTTTTAAGATGTCGTCTGCTGCCAACGAGAACAGTGCCCGTCTGAACCAGTTCAAAAATAAAGGAAAAGACGCCACCGTAAGTGAATTATTAATATCTAACGCTAGCGAGCTGTAAACGACTTAGATGTGTTTCCTCGTACTGTGCTCTTCCATAAAGAAGGTACGAAACACGCTGAAGCCCGTTTCCTATTCGCCAGCTGCTGTTTGAATTTTTCAGTTCCACCTTAAATGATGCAGCAGTTATCGTTTTAACGCCTCAGGCGCCAGAACGTAACTGCTGCACCGTTTAAGGTGGAACTGGAAAATTCGAATAGGAAGCTTGTGACTTTTGACTTGTCGATAAACGTGTGATTTGAATGTGTTTTAGGAGCTCAGGCGCCGGAGGATTGAGGTCAATGTCGAGCTTCGTAAGGCAAAGAAGGATGAACAGATTCTGAAGAGGAGAAATGTCGCTGTTCTTCCGGATGAAGCCACTTCGCCTCTTCAAGAGAAAAGTCAGAACTGCCAGGTATGATGCAGCATATTAAAAGCAACCAAGATTTTTGATGTGAGGAATTCAACTTGAATTTGTAGTAAAAATGTAAATATTGGTTTAAACAAAGAATTGTAAATAGCTAATTATAATAATTTTTTTAAATAAATTCAAATGATTTTTACTGGAAGTTTTAATTTTCTTAGGAAAACTGAATACATGTTAACACTGAATTCATGCTAATAAAAATTGTTCTTTCCGTTAAAAAAATAAGGGGGAGAAACCAATAATTATTACTGGTGAAAAGTCATGCTTAAAAGTTAAAATATTTCCTACTAGACAAATCTAAAATTTGAATTTAAGCATGTAAGAATATGCCTTTTTCACATTGTCTTGTTCAGATTGAATTTCTGACATCAAAAATTGTGGATAAAAGTTAAAATGGCTTTCCACAAACATTTTAGTGTCATGCAGAAATTGCAGTAATTTACTGCAAATAATTCAGTGTATGTTCTATAGCTAGATTACAGTCTCCCCTGTTTGTACTGTCGACCTAGGCTCAGCACTGGACAGTGGAAGAGATTGTTAATGGAGTCAACAGTAACAGTCTTGAAACTCAGATGCAGGCCACCCAAGCTGCGCGGTGAGTGGTGACTAACTTGTAATCAGTTACAGACATTGGAAATGTCTGATTGGCTGGGTTTTAATTCCTTTTTTCTTATTTGTAACCATATTTCTTTGTCCGAATTTAGAAAACTTCTGTCAAGAGAGAGACATCCACCGATTGACCGAATCATCAGTGCTGGCTTGATCCCCAAGTTTGTGGGCTTTCTGAGCTTGGTGGATTCTCCCCCTATTCAGTTTGAAGCAGCCTGGGCCCTGACTAATATTGCATCTGGAACATCTGACCAGACCGCAGCTGTGGTGGAAGGAGGGGCTATCCCAGCTTTCATCAGTCTAATCACATCCCCTCACCCTCATATTAGTGAACAAGCTGTCTGGGCTCTGGGCAATATTGCTGGTGAGTGCAGAATTGCAGATATGCAAGTTAGCTTGAAGTCACACATTTCTTGAGTTTGAGTTAATAAAATCCTGTCTTGTTTTTCTGGTTTGTGTTTTTAGGTGATGGCTCTGCTTACAGAGATAAGGTCATCAAGCATGGTGCTGTTGCTCCGCTTTTGAGTCTGCTTGCCGTCCCTGACCTTTCTGTGTTTGCGGTGAGTTAAATAAAGTGTCTTCAAATATTTTTGGTTTCTTATAGTTTTTCAGGTTATGGGTTTTTTTCTGTTGTATTTTATTTATTCAAAAATATTTGCTAACATCTGTAGAAACTGTGGTCCAATAGGCTCTGTTGTACCAGTATGAGAGCCTTTAGGATATGTCACGAGTCATTCGAACTGTAGAAGTGATTTCCTACCACTAGGTGGCATTAAAACTTCACTCATCCTGTTTTACTTTTCCTGTCTCCTTCTTTAACAGTCTGGCTACTTGAGAAACATCACCTGGACTTTGTCTAACCTGTGTCGTAACAAGAACCCAGCACCTCCTCTGGATGCAGTGCGTCAGATCCTCCCGACCATTGTCCGCCTCTTGCATCACAGTGATAAGGAGGTGCTAGCAGACACCTGCTGGGCAGTCTCGTATCTGACGGATGGTCCAAATGAAAGGATTGAGGTGGTGGTTGAAACAGGTGTGGTTCCTCGCCTGGTACAGCTGCTTGGATCTGGAGAGCTGTCTATTGTGGTAAGACAACATGAATGATCAGTTAATCACACATTTCTTATACAGCATACATTTTCAAATGACTAGGGTGTAGATCTCTTCAGTGATGGTTCTGTAGTGGTTTTTGTGCACCATAAAATCTGAAATTTCACCATATGATTACACTGGTACAATTCAGAATTATAAGTGTCACTAGGAAAAACTGTCTACAGTAGTGGAATATACTCAAGTGACATTCCCCAAATGATGCATGTAGTATCCATTGTAATCCAGTGTAAGATTTGGGTGGAGCAAGGCAGGTTTATCAGACAACAGCATAAAATACTTCATACTAATCCCTACAACTTCTTTCATGTCACAACAGCCTGAACATGTGAACGACATGCATGCATCTCTGAATCTAATTCTGAGTTAAACCCAATCTATTTCCATCCTTAGACTCCATCGCTTCGCTCCATTGGCAACATTGTGACCGGCACAGATGAGCAGACCCAGGCAGTGCTGGATGCAGGAGCTCTCCCCATGTTCCCCAACCTATTACGGCACCACAAGAACAACATCCAGAAGGAGGCTGCCTGGACAATGTCCAACATCACTGCAGGCAAGGACACACAGATCCAGGAGGTTATCAACGCTGGCCTGGTGCCCTATCTGGTGGAAGTTCTCAAACGGGTATGTTGTGGGCTGAGACTCAGGGGGGTGATGTGAGTAAAGCCTGACTGAAATTTAATACTGAGGACCAGTGCATTTATTGGAATTGGCAAAATGTAATTGGTTGATGATCCGTATTATCAGAACACCATAATGTTGCATGTAAAATGCTGTTGGAGTATACCGTTCAGATCTGTAATTAGATCTGCCAATGTGTTTAAAATAGAATGTGTTATGGATGTGGGATAAATGCGCTTTTGTTGCAATACATTTATTTTATTTATTTTTTTTGTTGTTGGTTCTGTCCATCCAGGGTGACTACAAGACACAGAAGGAGGCAGTGTGGGCAGTAACCAATTACACTAGTGGAGGCACCGTAGAACAAGTTGTTTATCTTGTTCAGGCCAATGTGCTGGAGCCACTACTTAATTTACTGTCTGTCAAAGACAGCAAGACAATTCTTGTCATTTTGGATGCAATCAGTAATATCTTTTTGGTAAGTTATTCTCTGTTTGGACTAGTGTTGTCACAAAGAATTGACTTAAATACCAAAACAAAGTATAGTAAAACAGTGCTTGATTCCAAATGATACTATGACAAAAGTGGCAAGTTTTACACACTTCACTCACATCTTCGTCAAGAGTTTATTTAGGGAAGTAAAAGTTCTATGGCATAGCTCTTAAGAACTCTTTGACCTTTTTAAAAAGGTAGGCAAAAGACTGTCAAACTGCTACTAGCTTATTGAAAAAATATTAAGTTTTATTGTTTACTGCATTTTCAGTTTTGAAAGTACTAGTTTTGATTTTATCATGCAACTCTAATTTGGAGTGTGATCTGTGCACCATCTATAATGGTGTTTTCTATAATGCATTTAATTAAGTGGCTGATTCTTAATGTGCTGACTTTGACTCTTAGGCTGCTGAGAAGATTGGCGAGACCGATAAGCTGTGTCTGATGGTTGAAGAATGCGGTGGCTTGGACAAAATCGAAGCCCTGCAGACCCATGAGAACGAAATGGTGTACAAGGCCTCACTCAACCTCATTGAGAAATACTTCTCTGGCGAGGCAAGTCCATTTTAAAGCAGAAGCTCCTTTTTGTGGCATTTAAAGCTGTTCTCAGTATAGTTTTCTAATGATTTTCTTCATTTTTGCAGGAGGAAGAGGATGAATGTGTGGCCCCTGAAGCTACTACCGATGGCTATGCATTCCAGATCAATGAAAACCAAGGCACTTTCAACTTTTAGAATTTTTTCTTTTTCCCCTTCCCTCTGCTGCTGTTCTGTATGTTATGTCTTGTCCAGTATTTGTGTGATGGACCTCTGCTCTACATTGTACATATGGGACTGTCTGAATTTTAAAACTCTGTAAATAAAGGAACTAATAAACATATGGTGTCGTGATGAACTCATTGAGTTAACATGAGCAGGCTGGGGAAAGCTGAACAGGGGAGGAGACGGGTGATGTCAGTGTTGAGCAGCTTGGTGGCCTACACCGCCCCCCTCCAAACCCCCCGAGCTGAACATATGCCAGTTAGCTGTGACGAACTACGTGAGAAGGCTCCCTCGGTTGGTCCGTGACTGCCCAACTTTGCACAGGCTCTTCGTCACTCGGCCTCACTGAGGGGGAAATAAGAACTGCTCCCCTTCATTAGACTTAATGCTCGGTTTCTAAAACGGATTATCGTCGCGTAGTTTTATTTTTCGCTATATACTTTGCAGGCTAGGTAGCTACAGCTTTGAAAATAAACTGGATGTAAATGCGTTGAGTGAGCTGGTCAGTGTGGACATGGCAGCTCTATGCACATCCGGGCCACAGCATAGCGACTCCATTATTCTCAATTCACTGTGAAAGTAAGTGATCCCGCTAGCACAGCGCAGAGAGGAGGGCGGACAAGCCACACGGGAGTTTTACACGGGAATTCGGCTACAAAGCTGGAAAGCTAAGGGAGATGTCTAATCAAGGGGGAAGAAGAAATGGACCCGTAAAATTGCGTTTAACAGGTAAGTACACAACCATCGACGACCACAACGGCTTTTGCTAACCTGGCAATGTTAGCTAGCAAACAAACACTAGCAAGTGTTACTGTTTGGGACACACTTAAACCAAATTTTGGACTGGTAATAAGCATTATTTACCGTATCCCAATGCCTAGTTATATAGGGTCTCTTTTAAAACTGTTTGCTGATGTATTTAGTTATTTCACAAAGCAAGTTTGGGGGGTATTTGCCATAATGAGCTAGCTAGTCTTGCTAAGGTTAGTGTTAACTTAGCTAACGCTAGCTAGCCCGGCTAGCAGGGCAGTTGCAGTGGTGAACATAATTGTGTTAAATGCTCCTTTACTCGTCCAGAACATTTTATTTCTCTCGTTTATTTTTTGTCCTACCAATGCTCAAGAGACTAACTGAATTTCTTCACCATAAGCTCTCAGTAGAGTTAGTTGGCGTTACTAGGCTAAACTGTGCGACGGTTTGCTAGCTTGGTAAGCCGGAGTCCCTGCCCAAAGTCATTTTCACTGAGCAGTCCTGTTGTTGTACGGAGCTAATATAAATATTATCCGTTATCTGTTCTGATGTGGTAGATAAATGACCAGATTATAATTTGCTCAAGCATCGGGTTGGCTGTTTAGTATTCATATTCACTTGATTATGGTTTGCGGAGTTCCCAAAAACACGCAGGGAGACTCGATCTATCTAAAGAAGTCACCTTAAGGTTAATTTCATAAATCCATTTCGTTCTAGCAAATCCCATAAACCTTTCCGGCTCGTGTTAAAGTAAAATCCGACTGTTTACTAGAGCGAGTGCCCTATTTTGCGGGGAATCTGCCTCTTTTCCATTACTGTCATGTTAAAACAGGGAAACAAGCTAACCCTGCGAACCTCATACAGTCTGTAGTTGCAGATAGACTTGCTGTGTGAAGTGTAACGTTAGACTAAAACCGTCGTAGCTTGTCACTTTTGATCGTCTAGTTGTTTCTGAATTGGCCCAGCCAGCTTTTCATTGTGCCTCGAGGGGGTTTCCTTTGGCTCCGGGTGCCTTTGCTTCTCTTGCTTTCAGGTCTGTTTGGTTGGTTTGTGCTGTTTGAATACACAGCTAACCGAGCCCGAGGGTCTGTGTGTTTTGACTGGGAGAGAGAGATGACCGCGTCTGCGTTTGATGTCCATCCAGTATCAGCGCTGAGGCAAATTCCAGGGTTTTCCATTCGTCTGGAGTAGCCAAATGCAATATTGAAGCTAGTATGGTCACTGATGGAACAAAGTGGAGGAGAGAGTTGCTTCAGTTCAGGACTCAGCCGCCTTGTTTGAGCCGGGTTACCATGCCTGTAACTAGTGAGGTGTTTGTGAATAAAGAGATTAAGTTGATTTTCACAGCACTGCCCTCGTTTGACCTTCCATGGTCACGACATCTTTGTGAGTTCTGTGAGGAGCTTATCCCATCATCGTGACTTCACTGAAGAAAACTGACAACGGCAAGACAGCTTTTGTCCCTCTTTAGAGAAAAAAGCCTTCTTGAATCGAACTGGAAAATCAAACTCAGGGGCAAATATTTTCAGCTTGAAAGCAGTTGCTTTGTTAATGATGGTGGTACATCTGGAAGATTTACAGACCCTGACTTGTATTATTTTTTTAATGTGGTTTGTCTTAATTTTGATGAAGTGCATATTAGTCGCTTGAATAAACCTGTGGGCTTTGGTTTGTGGCCATTGATGACACCATTCTTAAAGCAATGAACAGATACAAAACCCCTCAGGCTTATTTGAGTGTTTCCAAAATCTTTTAGTTACACATATATCCAAAACAATGGGTGTCTGCTAGCTTTTAAATAGAGGAAGTATAGGTTGCTCTGCAAGTGATCAGCTTTCCACTTCATCATGGAAGTGAAAAGCGGGTACAGACCCAGTGCTTTTATTAAAAAAAGTAATAAGCTATTTTATACGAAGAACTTTGCTTAAGGTCGTCACAGTTAATATATGATCCCTTGATCGTAGTGTTTTGACAGTTCTTTGCTTACACAGTCATGTTTACGTTGCAACAAACAGAATGTGAATTGGGTGTTTTCTTCTGTCAGATGAAATAAAAGAAAGCACATAACATTTGTAGAGATGTTCCAATCCAATTGGAAATTAAAACATTTTAGAGGGCAGTGGTGAGTAATGTTTGTTTATTTGAGATAAAGCTGTGTCTGTTGTCAGTTGGGAGCTAGTAAGTATCAACAGCTAGGATGCAAGATGGCCGACCGGCCAATATGGCCACCTTAGGCTTGTACTTCGGTGGCTGTATAGAATAAGCAAAAAAGACAATTCAGGTGTTAACTACAATTTTAGATAGGCTTGTTATGATCATAAAATTTTAGATGGTGATTAACTGAAATAATTGTGATTAATACGTGAAAAGAAATGGTCTTTTTTTGCTCAGTTTATCACTATCTAAAATTATGTCCGTTTCATATCCAAAAGAAGGCTGTCATGCTCAAATCACTAAACCGTTTTACTTTCCACAGACGAAGAACTGAGCTAGAAGAACTGCAGCTAACACCACATCACACAGTGGAGTTTGTTCTAATTCAGGCTAGATTTCTAAAATGATTGGATTAGATTTATTCTTCTTTTCCCTGTGATATCTGGCCCAGTATTTTTTGCTGGTATTAGCCCAGTACCTGGTGCCATTTCTAGTCTGTATATTGAACCGTATATTTCGGTAGTGTATATGTGGATAGTGTGAAATGCTTTGTGTAGGTAGTGCATCATGTTGCATAGGGCTGCTTACAGACACACAGGCAAATAATACTTCCTACTAAATGTATAGCAAGCATGTACAGTCATGAGTTGTGTTGGAGGATGTCTGTGTGGAATTCCCTGGAACAAACCTCCTCAATCTTATAAATATTCAGTGTAGCTTCTCACCAAGTTTTGAAAGCTCTTTATTTTCCAGTGATTAAAATTATGTGTGTACAGGTATTTGAGTCTTTGTGGTACATAAGTGAGGTTTGCCTTTTGTAATTCTTTGAAATGTGTTGTGTTAAGGTATGAATCCACCTAATTCATCATAAATTTTGTATTATGATATTTGCTTTGGCTAGTCATCCACTTTTGAATGTGTCTGATTGTATGATTTACTGTTATTAAGGTTTCTGTCAGTTTTGAACAGTTTTTGTCTTTATATGCCTTCATACCCTGAAAGCAGTGGGTTTTGTACTTGCTAGAAATGTAGCGTGTGAAATTATTACACTTTTAGCACTGAGATTTAATAGGTTTATTCAGTGTTAGCACAGCATAACTTTGTAGGTCATGGCAAAGAATTTTGAATTGCCGTTTTTAAGATCAGATAATAAGCTGAGTGCCATTCAAATATGGAAGTGATTTTAGCCATGTCGGTATTCACACAGTATGTGCAGTGAAAACAACCATTAGCTGTGTTGAGCTGACTCTGCTGCTAAATTTCAGAACTGCATTTGACCAAACATTTCCATGTTCTGTTTAAACAGCAGCGAAAACAAACCTAAAGCATGCAAAAAAAAAAGTGCCGCAATTGCACATCATTTGTAAACGTTTTTCTTTTCCGACTGAGGGCTCTTAAATGATTGAAATCGTTCCACCAATTAATGGACTGGGACTGGATTTCCTGTTGGTTCAGCTGCTCTGCGGGAAGGACAAAGGCTGAGGCGGTCATGCTTTCGAGTGTCTGCCGCACTGTGAGGGCCAGATATAGAGAGGGAATTATTGGCAGACACACACACACTGGGGCCTTTCCAAACATGGAGACAGAGGTCAGCACTGGCAGGTGAGCAGCAGGTTCCGTAGCTTATTAATTAGCTTCTCGATCCCAGTTTAGTGAAACAGTTAATCAGTTCTAGGACCAATAACAGTCCTGATTCTCATAAAATAAAATTAAAGAACTAAAGATGAGGATTTACTCACAGCTAGATGTGCAGTGTGTTATGTACATACCTAAATGATGTGAAGTTTTGCATATAGGATAAGCAAATACTTTAAGCTGTAGGGGTGAAACACAAGTTCTTAATTTGTTTTGATACAATATGTATTGTAGTAGTGCCTAAAATGTCTTATTAAATGCTTTTTAAACATTTTAATGCTTCAATTTTCAGTTTATCATGCAACAGTATAAAAATACAATATTTTATAGCAAACTAACTTGTTAGCCCTGAGCTATAAACTTACGAGGAGTGTTCTATTCCTCCCTGCTCTAAATCTTGAGGTAATAAGGAAGCAACATTTTCAGAGGAAGGAGAGTCTGCCCTTATTATAAACTATGAGCGTAAAATCCATGTTTAAAATTTACTATTACACCTTCTAAAAATATGGATATTATTTAAATATTAAGTCTGTTCTTTGTACTATCTGTGCCAATTAATGAAAAGTGAATACATCTTTTTTTTTTTTTTCCCATTTTGATGCCCAGTACAAAGTGGTTCATGCAGTCAGTTGTTGATGCTCTCTTTCCAGATGCAGTCCATCTCACCTCATGGACTACCTTGGTTGTTACTTTACCTTAATGGATAGTTGGCTTCCTGTCTGCCCTTGAGAATCCTTATGAAGCTGAGTTTGCTGACTCTAAGTGAAAAATAAAGACTAAATTATATACTTTGCTTGGTTAAAATATTTGCAAAGATGTAAATCATCCACAGTATGACAGCCTTTGATTAGAGTTTTATCTGGCCTTTAGTTCTCACACTGGCTTCATCATGGCTGTCCTGATCACCACCGTAATGGAAAATATTTGTTTAGGCTAAGTAGCATATAAAAACGTGGTCTTTTAACTTTAGGTAGCGTATTTATAATTTAAACAATGCCTCATCCACCAGTTAAGTAAGTCTGTTACTAAACCTGCATTATTCTTTGCTGTTTTAAAATGTCCTGCATCTCTGAACACTTTGATGCATTTTCTGGTGAATTATTTGAATAAAAATAATTTTGGTTGTGCTGTTTGGAACATTGCCATAATTAAGAGGCTTTTGTCAAAGGGTCAGTGTCTGCTTGGGCCTG